GAGAGATCTTTAAAGAAAGCAAAGAAAAGGAGCTATAATAGACGTGGTGGTTAATGGCTGTGTCACTTGTCCAAAGTTTGCTAAAAATTTAATGTTTAAAAGGAGCCTAAACATATAATAGTAGACTCAACAAACTATTTTACAGCCTGTCAATGGATTGTAAAAAGTTACCAAATACTAAAGTAGGGTATGATTGGGCTCAAGTAATAGTAGATAGATATTCATGGTATGTGTGGGTAAGAGAAATTAAAAAAGATACCCACTTTCGAAGCACTAGATTTATTAGAATTAATTTACAAGATGTAGAAGCCGGCGGAGATGATCCCGAAACCCCTTTCCGCACATGGCGTGGTTTAAAGTAAAAAATTACTAGACTGAAAAGGAAAAATTTTATAAAAAGGGATTATATACGTGTAGCACATCACCTTACAACTGTTGACAGCCACTAAAGCAATGAAATTGGGGAAAATGCTGTTCAGGCAATAAAAAGGCTTTAACAAAAAGGTGTTATGGATAGCAGTTAAAATTGGACGAAGTGATGGGCAAATATAATTTTTAAAAAGGTGCCTAACATGTTAAGGAGTATCTCCTACACTAATGCTTTTTTAAATGCAGGTTAATATTCTGAGTTATTATTAAAAAAACCGGCAGTTAAAGAACATAAAGAAGAAATTAATACGGCTAATTCATCACAACATAATATCGATTACAGCAAACTAACTAATGATACGGTAACATTTTTTGATGTAAAGTAGAAAGCAGAAAAACTAATTACTGGAGACAGTTTATTTCAAAAATAATAACATTGAACCAATTTTTATCGAAAAAGTTTATTTAAGTACGAGATTATTGAAACGTCCCTGAGATCATACCAGAAAACGCATGGGATGGATTTCAGTGCTAATGGAGAAAAATTAGGAAAACCTAGAAAAAATAAATGAGTGTTAGTGAATTTTAAATAAACCCCATATCACAACGACGGAAAATAAGAAAATGAACACAATTTTTAGCGTTAAGTGTGGTCATTTATAGTTAGACAGAATATTAACCTCCCTGGATAAATTGGTAAAATGAAACAAAGCTCAAGATCTAAATCCTTTCGAAATACCTAATAATGATAAGCAGGTAGAATATCAGATATAACTTTAGGGTCCAAACAAAAACTTAAAGTTAAAAAAGCCCAATATTATTGCCGCGTGTAAAATTTTAAAAGGATATCAGTTTAAGAAAGCATGCTTTTGGCTGTCCATTAAGTAATTTCAATCTTCTCCGAGATATAGTTGAAAAGAAGGGCTTTATCCACGATTGCATAACCCTCGAGGGTATGTTGCATTACATGCCTTGCAAAGCAACAGTTTTTTAAAAGCTAATATCTTAAATACATATATAATAATATGATGATCTGAGTATAGTAAAGCCTAAGGTTTAAAAAATAGCTTTAAACTGTTAAATACAAGTTGGAATAAATATTATTTGTTTATAATCTATGCAAAAAATGCTTTTTAAATATGTTAAATTCATACAAGCCACTCATAACTGTTTTTATTTTAGTATATTAACAGTTTTAAGTTAATTTTAAATTGTTAGAAAAAGCTTCATTAAACTTTAATACATTCATTTTATAATAAAAAAGGTACTATGCCGTCTCACTTCCCATAAAGATGAGATTGAACAGTTTTAAAGCAAATAAATAAATTTTTTACAAAAAGTGGAAAAACATTTAAAAGTCAGCGTTTCATTGTAGTATTTTTAAAATTACTAAATCCCCAACATGATAAAAACGCTTAGAGTACTTTTATTAAACTTGTTTATGGAAGTCTACTATTAGAATAATCACAAATTTAAACAAACAATTAACTGTATCAATTTAACCAAAATACCTTAAACTGAACTTTAATTTTGTTTCGAAGTAGAAGCAGATTATACAGAGCATAGTGCGCTGCTTAGTATACTCAGGTGGTTATCGGAATCTACTTCCGGTGGAGCCTTAGTAAGCTATATTTTTTCAACTTTATCTAGTTTTACTTCAAACAATAGTACTTTAAATAGTTATATTGCCATGGACTGGAGTATGTTTTATGTATTATTACTATATTAATTATTATCTCTAATTTACTTATAATTGATATTTGCTGTTTGAGAGTAGTGAAATTTTACTAATGTAATTATTTATTTAACGTTAGTTTACTATGACTTTTTAGGGTTTCCGACATTTTTTGATAATATTAAGTAAAGGATTTTTTTGAAGAGGGAAAAAAAGTCAAAAAACACTAAAAATTTTATTATTTACTATACATGGTTTTCGTTTATGTAAATTTATTCATTAGTTAGAGTAACTTAAGAAAGTATAACCTCCTTTCTTTATTTTATTCCTTTTTTTTTTTTATTAACAAAATATATTATAAAGTTTTGTTGAGTGAACTTTAAATAGACTTTATTTTAATGGTGCATATTCCCTTTGTAAAAGGAGTTATCAACTTTTATTCTTTATACTTAAAGTTAACTAAATTACTTGAACTTGATAATTAAGAGCTTGTTTATAGTATCCTATTAAAAAGGTGGACACATCATTGTCAGCTAGAGGCACGCGGTCTTTTATTGAGCCTACTCCTGCACTTAACTTGGACTGCGCTCCTTTCCTGCCCGGTTCAATTTTTGTTCGCTATAATAGCGGGGCTAAACCATTCCTAAATTTTTTCCGGTTTACTGCATCTTTCCTTGCTCCTGCAGAAAAGACGATAAGTTACCTGACCAAAATGTAAGCGTAGAGTACAAGAAGGAGTATGAAAGCGACAAACTTGAAATCAACCGCTGGAAGCATAAACCTGGAGAAAACATTGTGATGACAGACGTCCTCGCTACTGGCGGGATTAAGAAGGTTTTTACGACATCATACAATCCTCCTTTTCCTAATAGGGTTATTCCTAGACTAGTATTCTTTTTATTATAAGGCTGCTGAAGGTCTGGGAAAAAAGCTGGGCTGAAATGCTATGAAATACTCGATGCTTATCGAAATCACCGAGTTAAAGGGAAAAAAATTATCGACGGGCCTTTTGAAGAATAATGGAATATATATATAATACTTTTAATCCCACGCCCTTATTTTACATCTTGATTAGCGCTTTTTGAATTTGTTCGCTAAATAAAAATTTCTTCTTAATTTTTTTAAATATCTTAGTTGTTTTATTTATGAAAATTACAAAATACATACATAAGCTTGCAAAATATTGAACTTAGTTTTTCACTATATGTTCAAAGTTTAGCAAAGACGCGTTTACACGTTTAAGATAACGCAAAGGAACTTTTTGTAAATGTAAATAACCTTTAAGGGGGCTCCAAATTAAACTAACAATTAACAATTTTTCATCGCAAGAGGCAAATATATTCCAAGTTCCTTATTTAAAAAAGAGTAGGAAAGGTTCGAATTTGAGAAGTTTAACTGATTACAGGAGAATTCATTCTGCTTTTGCAGTGTGAATTTTCCTTATGGGGCAAACACATCAAGCAACACCCCAACCTGTAGTTCAAAGTGTTAAGACTGGGCCCCTTGATAAACCATTTCTTACTCCAAAGGAGGGCGTCCACTTTCCAGCATGCTGGGAAAATCCAAGAAATGTTAACTTCCCATTAAACACTATACATCGGGTAGCAAAAGTTAATTAACATTAATGTGAAGAGGGGTGGTTCAAGTTAACCTACAAGACGTTAAAGCTTTCGTATACATTGCCTTTTTTCTCACTTGTTCGTTTCAAATTGCGAGTAAAATGATGTAATTTTAAAGATGGTAATAAGCACATGGCTAAGCAACTGAAGAATTATTATTACCCCTTAACATTTCTGGTTTTCTTTTTGCCCAGTGTATATTACGTAATACACCACCTATCTTACTACTGTTGTTAATAGTCGACTTTAGTTATAATTACGATCTTGTTCTTTTACGTCGCACCTTAAATTTAAAATGATATTTCAATCTCAGCTTACCACTCCAGTAACATTCGTAGGATGTTCAAGGAGCAATATGTTGTCCAGTACTTAAAAAATGTTTACTATAGTCCTTAAATATTTTTTTTTAAGCACGTAGTTTCTGTGCGATTCTGTAATGGTTTTGCGGTTTCTGAAATTTACCTACTCCTCTTTTTTAATAAGTTATAAAGTTGTTAGGAGCTATGTATGAGGTGGCGAGCTAATAAGAAATTATACTTTACGACAATCTCTATTTTGCCTGCCTCTACAAAATAAAACTAAAATATATTGGTTATTATGCCCTTTGCTTACTACTTAAGTTACAATACGGCTCCTGTTATAAGATTTATTTTATTTCCAAATCCCAAGTGCTCGTAATATACAACATCCAAGCCACGCTTAATCCTTTTTTAGACCAGAATTAGCGGTACCCGTTATTTGGATACAATCTTAAACGGTTAATAGTGGATATATGCCTTAAAAAGTGAAGTTGTTACCATCTTTAGAAAACTTTTGGGATTGTGTTTATTATACAGGCCCCTTTATAATAAAACATTATTTTCTGTATCCTCTTCTCGCTAGGACTATAAGTAATCTAAATGAACTCTACAAACCAAGCTTCTATATGTTTTAAAAACTTTGTGACTCCCTATACTTCCTTATCCTTGCATATAGTGATTGCACCTAGAAGTTAAAGTTATACTTTTTTTATAAAAAAAAGTCAAAAAGAGTACAGAAATATGGAAATTTAAAAATTAAACAACATATTCACATCTGTTGAATACTTTATTACAAACTAGTATAAGCTATTTATTATAAAAAAAGAGCCTGCTAAATATTTATAAATTCTATTAAACATTAGTACACAATTTTCTCTTTAAACTTTTTCATATATTATTTAAGAGTGTTGGTTGCAGGTAGCTGGTTGAGTCGATCGAACCAAAGCCACACAGGCACGAACTTAATGAATAGCTCATGCCAAAATACTTCCTTTTCTTGACATCCGTAAAACTGGCGGGCCTTGGCTTCAATAATCTCTTAATATCTATACAAACGTAAATATAAAAAGAGCATATTTCGTTTTAAACCCGTTTAAATCAAATACTTAGTTGTTCATGTTTTTCAAGAGATTTACTTATTCCTTTATAAAAAATTGTAGATCGCTTTCACCGAAGGTGAGCCGCACCCTTTTACTATATTTTTGTATTACTTTATTTACTTTATTCATTATTATTACTTCTTATTATATATTATTATAATTATTTGTTTTTTATTTAAATTAATAAAGAGGAAGTATACTTTGTTAACTAAAGAGGTTGCAGTCCCTAAAACTTCTACGTACATTCCCCTTAAAAACATTATACCAAAAGAGTATTCTTTTCCCTTACAACAACTATAACTGTTATATTAATACCGTTTTAGGGTTTACCAACAATTGAAGCCAATTTTTATAGAAGAGCTGGAAGCTGAAAGGAAAAGGGTCTTTTTTTTGCAATTTGGAGGTTTCTTGGTCACTGTTACTTCGAGTTTATTTTTAGAAATAACAATTTAGAGAGCTTTGATTTTTACGGTACACATACTACTTTATGGAAGGAACGAGGGGGAAGACAGCTTGCTTTACAATTATTTCAATATTATAAGCTTATTCCAGTAGTTTTTTATCTACCGTTTACTTTCTACTTAGTTACATATTTTATTAGTTATATAGTTAATTAGTAAAAACTATCTTTAATATTTCTCCGGCATAGCATATCTCTTAAATCTTTTTGATCTCCGCCTTTTTTATAGATGTTTATGTTACTGTTATTAACGAACTTATATTTGTGGTTATTAATATTATAAAAATAATAAAAAAGTAAAAGTAAATATTATTTTTTACTAGGAACGCTTATTAAGTAAAAACAACTTACCTGATTTGATAAGCAAAAACATTTTATTTTCAAAAGGATCTTTTTAGCGACTCCACTCTTCTTGAAAACCTCGATGCAAACTTAGAAGTTCAGTTGAAGTCAAACGAAAGGATTCTTTACGGAAGAATTGTCCCTCCCCGGAAAGTTCGTCCTATCTTTTTAGCTAATTTTATTATAAATATATTTATGAAACGTGTGTGGGTTATTATAACTATTTTAGTAAGTGTAAACAATCTTAATAAAATATTTTAAGTCCAGTAAGAATACATTAATTTCTACTTGCATTCACTCGGCACTGTATTTTTAAAAATTCAGCTTTCAGTTTCTTTCGAGAAACTCTACTTTTTCAGACGCTATAATTTTTTTAGGGAAAAAAGAGGGTCAATATTAAATTCTTATTAATTTAAAAAATGTTTAATTTTTACAAGTAAACATTATTGATCCTTTTGTGCTGTTTCGCTCTATAAATTTATAAGATTTTATTATTATGATACTCTACTACTACTTTTAGAGCTTTTTTTATAATATTGGTGAGCACATTAATATTAATTTTTTATTGTAAATTTCAGCTCCGAGAGATTCCGGACGTTCGTTTTTCCCGTACAGCAAACGACTATTACTATACTCTCTTGTGTGTGTCTCCAGGTTTTCTTATAATATTCTATTTTATGCATTTTATTAAAACTTAAACGTATTTATATTAGCAAATTATTAAGTTTATATTTTATTTCCTAAATTAAAACTTTTTTTCAAGATGATAATATTTTTAACTTTCATGTTGAATCGCTTCGTTGGATGATGTAATTTTCTTCTATTACCCAATTATGACAATTTGCCCCTTATTATCTTTTTGGCGTCTAAAAAGCACGAATATTAAGGGAGGCGCACCAGAGGAGCTAATCAGGATATCCGCTCTACAAAACGGTCATTATTCGGCGCGTTATTGAATTATTTAAGTTTATTTGGTTCACCTTCTCTGCTCTGCACGCTCGTTAAAGCTATTTTCTCTACTGCTACAGCGGATACGGCATGCGAGTATCTTCCGCCCACGCCTGCGAGGGGTACTGGCTATCTGCGCTACGTATTTTTATTGCTGGAACACACCAAGCGGCTCAAACTCGGCACAATTCAACCGTTATTTTTATTTTAAATTTTTTCTTCCTTTTTTTATTGTATACGACTTTGCCCCGCAAAGAGGAGGGGACTTCAGTACACGCGACTTTTTACAATCGCACGAAGCACGCATTAAAGGGCTTAACTTTTTTCAAAGCTGCTGGGACGAAAGTGTGGATGTCACATACACTCAGACACTCGGTCCGCTTTATTTTGGTAGTGCCATTTCATATGCATTGATTTGGGTCTCAAAAGGTCTGCTAAAGCCTCCCGTTTATGAGCCGAAATCGCGCTATCCCGGTAAGGTGAAGAGACGGCGGTATATGCCGAAGCCTAAAGAACCACAATACAAGAAGACACTTCTTCGAGATAAATAATAAAAAGGAGTGAAAGTTATTACGCTATGAAAGTTGCGAGGTAAAGCTGGGAGTGCTGTCGAACTCCATGAACTGCAGATCCACCGATCGACGGTCAGTAACACGTGGAATTTCAGAGCCTACACTGCTAAGGGCAGTTCGCTCATCCTTGATAGCAGTATTGGCAAGTTGAGTAGGAATGTGCTCGCGAGGTCGAATGTTCGTCCCCCTGCCAAGAAGAGCGCTCTTCTTTCCAAAAGAGTCGTAGTTAAATCGGCCTCTGCGGGTGGAGGGCCCCCCGCCGAGTATGGTGTAGGTCTGTAGCGTTGTTAGAAACCTGGTAAACTGAGGGCTACTCTTGAAGCGGTTCAGGCTGTCCGTCCCTATCAGCATCATGACCTCCTTAAGCGCCTCGTCAAATAACTCCAAGCAGTCCTCCTTACCAGTAACCTGCTTGTAGGCTTTGAGTGTGCCCATGCGACATTGGTCAGAGAGGTTCAACGCGTCACCCTTAAAGTACTTTTCAATTAGTTCCTTAGCGGAGCCAACCCCTCCAGCTTTAAAGTCGAGCACATCGATGACGAAACTCAAATTTTCAGCGCTGAATTCCTCCTTGAGAAACTCCATGAAGCATTTTAAGGCCTTTGGATGGTATATAATATTCTCCACCGAGAGGGAATACGGGTCGAGGCGGGACCGGAACTCGGCCTCGAGCAAGGGGTTCTTCGCAAAAAGCTTTGAAAAATTGTACTTATTGCAGGTTAGCATGACGCAGGGGGTCTTCGTCCGTACCGTCGCAGTGCGCTTACTTTCGTGCAGTAGCCCTATTTCGCCAAAGTAGTGGCCCTCGCCCATCTCGCCAACCTTCTCGTTATTAACGAAAACGTTAACTTCTCCAAAAGCTATCATGTAGAATTTAGTAGCGTCTGTGTTTTCCTTAACCACTTCATAGTGAGGTGCAAAGTACTCAAGCTGAGTCACTTGCGCAAGGCTCTCATAGTCTTCCCTAGTAAAGCCTCTTAAAAAAGGGGCGTTGAACCTCTCTAGCTGAGCAGTGATGCGTACAATTACATTTTTCTGAAACGATTCCCGCCACGCCTGCCTGGCTTCCGGGCAAAGTTTAAGAAACTTAAGAAAGTCAGTTCCTTCTAACTTAAGTACGACGCTTGGCTCAATTGAGATGGCGGAAGAAGTACGGGGTATGTAAGAGGTTAAAAGTGATAACTCGCCAAAGTAAGTGCCTGGCAAAAATTTACAAATCAACTTCTGGCTCTTGTCGCTCCCTTCTTTGTAAATTCCAACGCAACCACGAACAAGTACAAATAATCCCGTACTAAATTCATTTTCTTTATAAATGAAGTCACCAGCTTTGTAAGACTGGAAGCGGAGTAAAGAAGCAAGTAAAATTTCGTGCTCTTTGGAAAGATTTGAAACACCTATACACAAGCAAATCATAACTTATATACTTGATCTATAAGTAAAGTCACCTAGTAAATTATTTGTAGAAGAAAGATACTGCAATCTGTTTAATAAGCGTAAAGAGCCAGCAAGAGCAGCATTTCTTTGTAACTTCTGGCTGTCTCCTTCGCAGATAAAAGCTAAGCGACAGTTTGTTTTAGCCTCTAAATTTTGAAACAGGGAAGATAAAGGCAGGGCATCCACGGGAAACGACGAACAAAGTGCATCCTCAAACAAAACATCTCCTATGCATATAAAAATCTAATAGATAAGTATAAAGACCTAAAATAATTTTTTTCATAACCTTTTTTAACTTGTAATCTGTAGTTTGAGTTCTTAAAACCTTGTAATTCTAAAGTACCGTCAAGTACGGCAATAATACTGTTAATAAATTCTTCCTTAGGGAGAATGGTCCCTTTAAGTAAATTTTATAAAACGTTCATGATGATATTATATAATATAACTATTAATACCTTTCTTTAAGTCCTTAGTAGTTGTGAAAGTATTTAAAAGGTAAAGTTCTTTTTTACTTAATAACACATGAAAAGGATTATAACAGCTCAAAAGTCCTTTCGGGGCCCAGTTAAATGATTTAAAAAAATTTGATAAATTACTCAGTATCCTAAAGCTAATTGTCATTGTATACCGCTTATACGAAGCTTACTGACACAATCCGCTTTTATTAAACATATTTAGCACAAGGACGCACTGCACATAAATTCAAAGCTCTCAAAACTTTTCCATCAACCACTTACGAGGTAGTTTAATTTGCGTAACATTTTTTTGAGCAAATCGGAACAGTCTAATTTATTCCTCCAATCACTGCCAGGACATTTCGTGTTTAAAAAAGGTGTAAATGTTTGGTTGGCAAAGTTCCCTTAAAGGGGAAATTTTTAAGATTTTTTCTTTTAGTTTTATTAAAGTTTTTATACCGATTACTTTAAACAAGACAAGTTGATCAGTGTAAAAATTGTACTTATATGATCAAAAAAGACCTTAACGTCTTTGGTAGGTCCTTAAGTTTTCAAGTTATGTGTTGTAACTTTAATTTTTAACTAATATGTCATTTAATAAATTTAAATACATTTTGCGGTATTTACAAATTAAAAATTAGTATTTCACTTCTCTTAACAGAATAAAGACGCGAAAATATATTTTTTCTTAAGTCTTCATAATCCGAAAATATACCACATAAAGATGTCTACAACCTTTAAGGCTATTAACAACTCTTAAAACTAAATAGCGGGTCGTGTAGTTCATTAAACTGTGCTTAATAGTTTTTTTTTTATTAAAGTTAAGACATATACAATTAATATGTGAGTCAGGTTGTACATAATCACTTTTAACGGTAATGCAGCTCTCCAACATTGAGTGAGTAAAATTAGGCCATCATTTACAGAAACATGGAATTTTGCTAATCACTAAATGGCTTATTGCTTTTAGGACGTTCATGCAACCAGTAAAACCGAAAAGTTTTGGTCGCCGATTATTTTTGCGCTCATTATTCTATTTACTGAGCTATGTTTACAACCCATACTCCTAGTTAATAGATTACGTATAGCTCAGTGGTTAAAGAACTATGTCGCCCCCACACTTTTTGGTCTTAGTAATTACTTGTACGACCCCCCAAAAAACAAATTTTGATAAGATAATTGAAAAATAAAATTATCTTTCTCCTGAAAAACGTGCTTTTTATTATATAAGAATCTATGGTTGCCTAAATAGTTTGGCAAACTCTAAGGTATCTTTAATAATTTTTTTTAAGTTAAGTAAAATTCCAAGCGTTCCAGATTTTTCACCCTTGTTTACTTAACGCTTTTCTTTTTTTTATATTTACTTTATAGGCCAAAAATTCTCAAGAACTTGTGTTTTTTAGACAATAAAATAATATAGTTATAAAATATATTGCAGACTGTGGATTGATTAAATCATTGTAGTAATTTATTTGATAATAACGAACCCCTTAAAGCCAAAAGAGGAAGAGAAGATTAAAAAAAGGTAGCAGCTGGTGTACGGGCTGTACATTTACTAAAGCATGGTGCAAGACACCTTCAGTTTTAATGCCATATCACCAAGTTATTAATACCGTATTCCGAAATATTTAATGCAAGTAGTAGCCTTTGACGTTAAAAATATCAAAAACTGTTTTATTAATATTACATCACACATAGTGGCAATGGTTTTACAATTACACTAATTATGACAGTCGGTTAATAAAGTTGCATAGTTAAAATAAAAACAAACAAGTTACCACCAGGCTAATAGTTGATTATTAGTCAATATAAGGCTCAATATTTTAGCATTTATATTAGATTATCCAAGGCATCGCTCTCCTTAACCTTTCTATAACGAAGGGTTAATGGCTTATGAGCTTATAAAATTGGCATAATGATTAATTATATTTTATAGTTTTCGTTTATACTTCTACTTAGCGATAATTTTTTTAATGTAGCATAGTAGTTAAGCTTAAAGTGGTCATAGAAATCATTCATTGTTAATAAATATTATTAATTGTAGAGCAACGCTACCAAATATATTTCGTTTGTTGCACAGTAACTGCAAATTTGAAAGTTTTCTATTTATATATAGATGAACTTAACCCTCGAGGGCTATTTCTTTTATACTTAGGAAAGGGTCCGAGCACGACAATTTTCTTCTTTGCGTTTTGGCTGTGTGGGTGCCCCCTGGGAGTTTTTGAATTTATCAAATAAATAATTAGTGCTGAATCTTTAATAACTTTATATTATAATAACTTATAATCTATAATACACAATTTAATTTATTATATTACTTACTTTACAAATCTACCAGTTTTAGAGACCTAACACCGGCGAAATCAGCAGTTAAGAAAACTACTGCTCTTAAGTTTTTACTAAAGGCATCTATGTTGGGACTTGATTATTTGTTTCAATTTTTTTATAAGTATTTTTTCCAAGACCTTCTGCTTCAGGAGACCCTATTAACCATTTTTTAGCTTTCTTTTTATGTCGAAGGCTTTCAACTTCAGTTGTGAAGTAAGTTTGTAGTTCGTATTTTATTCTCTTTCAAATTTTATCAATTTCGTAAAAAAAAGGTACGTAGTAACTTGTAGGAATAACTACAAAAGTATTATGTGGGAGTGAGCTTTTAATATGCCTTTCTAAAATATCATACTGTTTCTTAGGAATTGAAACGACCTTTAAAGGGGTATTGGATAACTATTAACCTTTGAGTTGTACTATGACTAAACTAAATAAGCCGATAATAAAAAATACATTTATATTGTAAAAGGGGGTATTATTTTGAAGACTAAAAGCTCATATTTATTATATAATAACAAAATTATCGTCGTTTATTTAGTTGGACCGAAAAAATTGTATTTTTTGAAATTTTATTATGTACTTTTAAGGGATTCTTTTATTATTAGATTGGTATACTGTAATATATATTTTTTTTAGTTATTAAAATAGTCCGTATAAAAAATGTATATTTGAGATAAGAAGCACTTAAACGAAATATAGATGCTATCAAAAAGTTTATACATTTTTAGATTCTAGTATACGTAAAATCTGGTAGTGGGTAGACTACCAAAAACGAGTTTATCGTAAAAGTGTTAAATAAAAGGGCTTAATACTATAACTTTTTTGTGGGCAACTACCTATTAAGCATCCCTCATGCCACTATTTCTGCTGACTCTTTCCGAAAAGAATTTTTTTTAAGATGGAATTTAAAACCAATTTTTAACTATTAAGAGTTGCTAGTATAAAAATTATTAAAAAGATTGCTGAATATTTGTTATGGGTTAAACAATTTTTTTTATGACATTAACGGGTTATACAAGCTGAGGTGTAATATAATTCCACGAAACATATTAGATAACTAATTCTTTATTAACACAGCTACCACAGCTACTAACGCACTAGAGGAAGCACTACCTAGCAACTCTATTACGAGCTTAACCCCGCTAATTCAATCCTCGTTAAGGACGCTATGATAATGGAAGGGTAGAAACTTGTATTAAATAGTTTTGTAAAAATGTTCTTTCGATATTCTAGATTGATTGAGAAGAAAAAAAATGACATCTGCGAGAGAGAAAATAAAATTAACCTGTAATATTATTTGGATAAATACAAACAAACATTGGCACAGATATCTGGCGCTCGGCAGCATCTATGAGCTCTTGGGCTAAAGCGAAAATACAAAAAAATATTTAAATATGTCATGTGGACCATGTCTAATGTTAGATCTCCCACCACGCCATTTATTTAGAAATCGAGGCCTAACATAGTTTAATAGTGGTATCAAAATACACGTAGTTGGTTGTGGCGATAGGAAATTACTTGTAGAGGAGTGACATTTTGCTTAATGTCGTTAAGACATGATGTAACGCTTTAAAATTTTTTTTTTTTGCATTAGGTGGGTCCACAGTACGCTATTTACAGTAGCAATACTATATCTAAAAGGACAATTGCACTTGCTTCAGTATAATACCTTGTTATTAATGTTTCTTCCATCTCTTAAGTTTTTCATTATTAAAAAGCGGTTCACTCTTGTCTTTTAATAATAGCCTTTATATCTATATTTTTTAGAACTTCCTCTTGGGCGGCTAGCTGTATTTGTGGTACTGCGCAGTCAAGTTAAAAAATTAGTGCTGGTCAAACAAAACATGCCACAAATTAGAGCCTGTTAAATTGTGATTTACCGCCTTCTCATAAATATTAGTAAGATGTATAATTTAATAAATTTTAAGCATATTAGATACTCATGCTAGGCAAATAATTTAAAAAAATATTATATTTAACTTAATTAAACTCTGGACGTTTAGTAGATGATGATATTAGTATTAAAGTAGAGGGTTGCACTCGCCTTTAAAGAATTGAAGGTAATTCATATAATAAGTCTATAAAAAGAGGCGCAATAAGCAAGGGGGCACTGTTAATAGCATTAGCTATTAATGTCTAACTTCAAAATAATCCGTCATAATTGTGAGGATGGATCACCGAAACTAACTATACGGGCACTGGTCAGGGACTTAATAACTTACTTATTGATTTATTTGTAGTTTAGTGTCTAGTCATAAAATTTTTAGTTAGATAAGGTACATACCTTGTCTTTAACTTCCTTACGATAGGGTTAAATGTTGTTAAACCCAAATGTCACTCCAAACCTATACATTTAACAGGCGGAGCCCTCAACTTAGTTCCTTTTTTTTTAATGGGCAAAACATAACTGTGACGTTAAACTTTTAAATTTCAAAATTACATTATTTGCATGTAAGCGGGTTTAATAACGTTTCAAGTTACGAATTAATTTAAGCCTCCTGCGTTTAGTAATTAATAACCCACTCAATTTTATAAAAACCCACTCTGAGAATCGGTGTGTATTAGTACTGAATCCCAGTGTTTTTAAACCTACTGGCTTTATTCAAATTTTTTATTGAGTAATAAAACTATGTTAATTAATTAGTCTGGCAAACAGCCGTTAAAACAAGTTTAATTTCTTACACTAACAATGACATATAAAGCAGAGGTAGAGTGTATATAAAGACTATTGCAAACAAACTTTAAACCTTCGCTGTTAAAAAAATAATGCTAGCTTACATAATTCCTTGCTACAAATTCTTGGTGCACCTGTTATAAGTACACTAAGCTTCTACTTCTCCGTTAACGAAAGGGGGGCCTATGAAGCAAAGTTTTTAATTTATTTGAAGATACTATAAAGTTGCTATGTAGTACAACCCCCCAAAATGTTATTAATGCTGATTAATAATGGTAAATAAGATGTCTTTTTCAGTTAGCCTCGTTTAAAAAGTTAAAGCCCCTCGGCTTGAGGGCCAGGTCGGAACCTGTTCTGATGAAAAATAACGATTAATTTACCAGTGCGTATTGACTGTATCGTTATGTATGCATACGGGTATAAAAGAATTGTGCCACACCGTAAGCATTAAGGTTTGGTTCATCAAGGGTAGAAGGCTACCTTGATGACTTAGCCGGGGGCGTACTCTATAAATAAACGTGGCTTTCTTTATCGAGTTTTGCCTCTAAATCCCGACCATTTTTTCTTTGGGGGCCTTCTTATCTTCTTAAAGTTGTATGCGTGTATTAAAAACTGCTCTTTAACCTAAAAATCCACTAAACAATATCTAATTTTTTATATGTTTTTTTTTTTGGTCGCTGTTAAGTCGCCCCTTTAGTCCTGGTTCCTTAGTTTCTTACGTTTAAAGTATCATCCATTGTTCTTTATTTTTATATATACTATTATATGTCAGTTTTGTTGTAGGTCATAGTTTAGTCATGATTTTTCAATACCAAGATGGGCTAGATTCTTCACTTACAGAGGGTATATTGTAAATAATAATATTATTAAAAGTATTTAAACAACAATATGTAACATAGACCCGTCGGATCTTTCTCAATCTGCGCAAGTTTCTCAAACCCTTCCGCCTTTCATCTCTTTTACGTTAGACTTAAAACCTTCTGTACGGAAAACCTTGGGCTCTTTTGCTTTTACTATTGAAAGGCAAAACTTAAGTTGGGAAACTCTTTTATCGGAAATACAAACTATCGTTTCTTCTAAGAAACTTGATTTGGACGTTGAATTAAACAAGGACACCATTTCACGAATTCTGAAGTTTTTTTCTTCTTCTCGTTGTAACATTGCGGGGGCCACCCATTTAACCAAAGAAAATATGCTTCCTTTATTTGAAGTACTTATAAGTATTCCAAAACTGTTTTCAGAAAACTACTTAACTACTTAGTAAATCCATTTGTAATAAGTTACTTAGTTGTTACTTCTGTTATACTTTTAGGCAACTTATCGCAATTATGTGGCCTTCTTGAGAAAAGAAAACTCGCCAAACTCAACTTTTAAAATTCGCCTCTTACTTTTATTAAGCGAAATTAATAACAACTTTACCAGCACATTTTACCCCGATCACATGTTACTAACCCACAACGAAAGTTTTAAAAAGAAGCAAAGGAACAACGACTTTAAAAAATGTTAAGTTCTGTAATGTTTTCATATAAGTGAGCAAAAAAATACTTTTATTTTTTAATTATGATATTGTTCTTATTAAATAACTAACCACTCAGTTTTAATTTTAATAACATTTTATTTAGCTTTTATAAAACTATTCCATAAATCACATTTTAATTACATTCTTATTAAATATTTTGTTTGTATGACCTTTTCGTAAACTTAATTTTTTATTACAAATATATGTACTAATCTTTCTTTACTATTAAAATCGTTATTTCTATGAAATTTATGTTTTTAAATAGAATATTAACATTATGAATGTTTTCAAATGTTTTTTTTATAAATATTCAATCATTTTATAAATAGCTATCTTCCGGGTTTAACAAAAGTTAATAGTTTTTACTTTATAGAAAAAGTTTATTAGTCGTTATCAGTTTTCATGCATTATTTATTTTTTAAGGAAAACTTTATTTAATTAAAATTGTATTACTTTCTGTTTAATCACCATTTCTAAATTAAAAGTGAAAATTTTAATATTCTATTCATTTATCAATGAAATTACAACATTACGTTAATTATTATTCAACTTATAATCATTATATATATTACATTCATTTATTATTCAACTTATAATTATTCTTCATTTTCTATGACTTTAAAGATTTTTATCTTTTATTATGAGTTCATATATTTAAAAAAGTTTTTGTTCTTTGGTTATTTTAAATTATACCTTTAGTATTTATAATTAAAAGGATTACTATTTTACCCATTTTTGTTACATAAACTTGTATAATAAATCTCGACTTTAATATTTTAATATATAAGGGGTCTCGTCATTAGTTTATTAGTTTAAAAAGTGGTTTTTGATTCGCATATATATAATAGTTGTTAGGTTTGCAACTTATGAAGTTATTAGTTACTACAATTTTTTTTTAAAATAATTATTATATACGTTATATTTAAGTAAATTTTATATTATATAACTTATTTTTTTATGATTTTACCTTGCAGAAGGTTTACTTACATTATTAATAATTTTATAAAAAAATTATAAGATATATATGTTAAGAAGGTATATTTGTATTATAAAAGCTAATTAAAATATTAATAGCGAAAAGTAATATAATACTTTAAATATTAAAAAGTTATTGTACAATTATAAATTTGCACAAATTACTAATGTATAAGTAATTTTATAATATTTACAATTAATTACCTATTAAATAAAAATTAACTTGAAGTTGCTTCTAGCAAATGAACTACTATTGCCATTCGTCTTATAATTTTAAAACTTTCTCAATTTTTTGGCATCTTATAACTAGACCTTTAGCGCGCCAGAAACTTTCGTCCTTTTTTAGTCTAGCGTTCATGTTTTCAAAAATAAATAAAATATTGATTTTATTTACCTTGTGTTTTTATTTTAATTTTTCACCCTATAAGGATTTATTATTCGTACTATGTACACAGTTACATTACTTGAACTTAATACTTTAAATAGTAAATTTTAAGAAATAGTGATTTATGTTATATGTCAAGTTTAGTTGCTCTACCATTAATAACTTTTCTTTAAACCTTTGCAGCCATAAATATGAAATGGCCCCATTTTGACTCTCGAATGCAAAGCTCTCCTCAGGGTTCGAGCACCGGGGCGAGTCTGCCTAACTCAATCCGGTTTAATTGCATTATGGAAACCCAGTACGGCACGAAAAGACAGCAGTGCGCGCTGGAAGTCAGTATTCCGGATATCCTCGAGGCCTACAAAATTATAGAGCCTCATTTGTTGTACGCCTCCAACTTAAATAACAGTTCCACAAGTAGTCAAGTGTCTCAATCGGCCGACTTGAATATTGATCACAACCAATCCGATCTCTCCTCCCTGCAAATTCCCCGTCAAAACCACTAGCTATTTAAAAAATTGTAAAATTGTAATATATGAAATTTGGAAGTTCTTTTAAAAAATTTCAGTAATAACGTTTGTTATATTCTTTAAAGATTAATTAATATGAATAAAATTATTTCTACTTTTTTAAATGAGCTTTTGTTATTATAAGGTTTGCTTTATATGATAAAAGCTAAAATTTATTAGTTCTAATAGAGTAAATTTTAGTCTTAACTTATATATAAATCTTGTTAGAATCCTTATAACAATGAAGTAAGGAGTTTGCAGCCCTTAAACTAAAAGCTGAGCTCAGTCAAAATTAAATCCTGGATATCTGTTACCTATTATCTGTTTACCCAATTTTTTGTACTCTTTAAATTTTTAAAAGAAACTTCCTGCATGTATAGTATTTTCCTTTAAAAAAATTAAGGTTAGCAAAACAAGGTCGATTCAATTTTTTTTGTTAAAAGCGAATATCTCAGAACTATTAGAGTTTTAAATCTACAGCTGGTGAGGTTAAGTGGGACTGGCGAACGGACTTCTTCGTTTTCCCCAACTTCCTTTCTAGTCTGACGCTGATGGTGTGCGCGTAATATTTGACTACAGAAAGTATTAACAGCTTCTTATCGTTTGTGCAAATTTATAGTATGAAGAGATCTCCTCTTTACATAACTTTTTAGAAACCTAAGCTTTGGTCTTTAAATTTAACAGAAGAGATAATAATTAAATACGGGGTTAGCTCAAATATAGTTCCCTTTAATATAGTGCAAAATGGTATAAAAAATAGAGCTTACCGAGTTATGTTGTCAGTAATAATAAAATGGCATAAAGTCATAAATACACTTTAAAAAGAATACTAACGGTTGAAAGACTTTTAACAAAAGGTGACCACCGAACGTAAAGAGTACAAATAGTAAGGAAGTATAGGTAATACAACAATTAATGGAGAAGTCTCTGTTTTAAGTATATTAATTAACTTTTTATTCCACCAACTGCTCCTTACACTTTTTTTTATTAGTAAGTAACCTATAAATATTAATGACTTTAACTAATAAATAGTTACACTTCAGAGACTTATTTCCATTATTAAATATAGTTTAGTTTATATATATATTAACCTTTACTAATTTTCAAAATGCAGGAAAATCACAAGTATCGCCAAGTTATTTTATTTTTAATGCGGTAGCTAAAATCTTGTGATTGTACTACATTTTATATGGAAGCGCTATATATTTAGTGTACTACTAAAAAATATTCGTGAATTTTTTAATGTAAGACAAGTTTAGATAAAAATCAACTACTTCCATATTACCAGATTTTTTAAATTAATTAATTTGGCTACTTCGAACATTAAAAAGTTTAAATGTTATTTCGTGCGGTTTATTATTTTAATTTTTAGGAACAGTGAAGGATTTTAATACTGCTACCTTCCTTTTTAGTAGCAATTTCAAGTTGACTCAAAAATCTTCAAGCAATTCGAATAAAACTTTTAATATTATAACCGAAATATAAATTACCCCTCAAGATCTATGGGATTGCTAATTTCACTTAAAAGTGATACGTAAGCCATAAATGGCAATTTTTTGATTGTTCTTCATTATATATTGATTTTTAGTATTAGAGTTTTATAGATTACCTTTTTTTATATATATTGCTCTCCCCGAGAGCTATTTTTAGCGATAATAAGCTGGCGTAGTTATGCAACACAATTGTTCATGAAGTAGCGTATATGAGGACTTACCTGGCACTTAACTCTCGACAAAGCGAACTGATTTTTCGCAAATGATCGCTATTTGCTACTCTCTTCTCTTTCAGTTGAGAGTTATTTTGAAATTTTTCGTTTAATTCGTCCAGTGGAAGTAATAAAGGAGGCTCTAAAAGTAACAAAAAGAATTTTGTTTAACGATTGGATTAGAAGTTTTGTCGCGAGGTCGACTTCTAATGTACAGTTTTTTATAGGCTAATTAGTCTCTGAACATGCTAAAGTGTTGCAATTGGCAATAATTTTAAGTGTACATATATATATTTATATATATACACGCCTTTATGAGGGCTAGTGATCAAATTAACTCGAATTAATTCCAAGATGCATGAATACAGGATCGCGTATATGGCAGACTCACTCGGTAAGCCCACCTTAAAAACAGTAATATTTTACATATTCTTATTACGTATAACAAAATTTCAGGTTTAAAATAAATAACAAAAAAGTCAAAAGTATATTTTGAAATTCCATATACAACTATGTAAAAAGGTTTACCATAATAGAAAAATTTACAAAGTTAGTTAACAAACCATTGGCCAACAATTATAAATGAGGCCGTCACGTAAAAATGTACGATTATTTTTAATAAATTTTTTTCTTTGAAGCAATAATCACTGACTACGCCTACTCTAATACTTTATCTTAGTGTTAAATGGTTTATTAAAATTAAATATAACTTTTGTGTTAATATAATTTTTTACGATGGGGGTATTCGAAAAATTAAAAATGCACAGTGAGGGAAGAGTTAATTAGTTAACTTAAAATCTATACTGCGATAATTCAATGTTTGTTATAATCAGCGAAAGCTTATAGATGACTGTTGGCTCTACGTCTACTAAAGTCTTAGTGTCACGTCGAATATGTGCGTATTCATCTTGCTAACTTTCATAATCGTACTTAAAGTAGCAAAAAATTCCATTTCTATTTTTTTCTTGTGGTTACAAGTGTTAATATTGACTTTTATAACTTATTATAGTTGCATAAAGTTTGAGTTTAAGCTCTCATTACACCAAAAGTTTTACTTTAATTAAATATAAAGTATTCTATAAAAAAAACTAACATAAAATTTAACATCGGCACGATCAATAAATGCGCAATCTATTGATATTAACATATTTGAAGTAGTTAGTAACATTACGTTTGAGTAGTTTCGAAGTTGATCCTAAAATATAAAATAATACACAAATAATATAAGTTAACTTTAAATAATACTATTATTTATTTAGTTAAACTAAATTTTATATTTAAAGATCAACAATATTAATAGGAGTAATACAAACCTTTTATTTATTAATTTTAAGGTATAATACTCTATTAATTGCTGTATATACAATTTTTTATCCAAAAGAAAATTTTTATTATAAAACTTTTTAAAGTAAGTTTAAAAGAAACAGTATGTAGTAATGCAATCTGTTTAAATTATATAAGGGATGAAAACTTTGACTTTCTTGCGTCTATTTAACACTATAAACTCTTTTATTCAGGTTATAGTAATTTTGATAAGCATTCTTTAAAAAATTTAACTAAATATATTTTTCTGGTATTTGTAAAATATGTAGTTTCCTTTACTTAACTGGTGGCTTATAATTTAGTTCAAGAGTAAAGATTTATGGGATTTCCGTATGTTTGTGGGTCTCATAGCTTGATCAGTATTATCTTAATTAAAAATAGACTTAATTTCTATGACTTTAGCTCCCTCTTCTAAATTTTTACGCAGAAGCTTAATACCAGATTTCTTGTGAATCTTTACAGAAGTTTTGGATTTTAAATGTGAAAGTTTTAACTTTATTATGTTTAACTACTTTCATTAGTGTATAAAGAATTTTATAAATTTCTAATATATAGTAGTAGTAAATTAGATTCTTTTAATCCATATTCTTAACTTCATTCTTTTAATATAATTTTTTCATATTTAATAAAAAAAGAAAAAAGGAAAAAAAAAGAACAATTTGAGTAAGAATCGTATTGACGACTCGCATAACGTCGCTCGGTTCATTTTCAGTAAGTTTTTTTCGGGAAGTTACAAGAGTTTCTATCTCATCAATAAGTACAAACACCTTTTATTATTATTTATATAATTATTATCATTATCAAGTATAATTATTATACGAAAGTTCGTTCGTCCGCGATCAAATCTTGAATCTAAAAAAAAAAATTATACATAATTAGTTGAGTTTTTAAAATTTTATATTACCTTTTCAAACATTCTGTTAACTAACTTTCCACCTGCATTAGATTTACTATTAATACTTCCGAAGTATTGGATTTAAATATAATAATATTTTTTACAGAAAATATAAAGTAATCAAGAACAGAAAAATCAGTTACTTTCGGAAAAGTACTTCGACATGAGGCTTTCGCTGTGAAGCTCGATAAGTTGGCACTGTACATTATCTTTACTGCGGATCGCCATTTTTTGAGATAACGCCTTTTAAGCATAAATAATAGTGAATATTCCAGCCCGCCTGTATAGAAGACACGTGGCAGATTGGCTTTTTTTAATTTTTATGTATAAAATTTTGAAGTTCATAAACTATAACTAATACAATATGCAATAAAGTTATCAACTATTTTTAGTATATTTAATAATACATATTCAATAAAAATATTAATAAATATTGTCTATTAACTGTAACTAATATAATTTGCAACAATCTTTTATTTCATTATATTTAATAGTTAAAATACAATATAAATATTAAAAATATTCACACGCATTATAATTAATTTTATGTCTATGATTAATATTTTTTCCTTTTACTAAAAAATTTAAATAAATAGTTTATTTATATTTTATAATATCAGCGTCTTTTAATTTTTATCGAGAATATTATAACTTTTTATTAGAAAATTATACAATTTTTATATTAAGAATAATAAATAGTACATGAGTTGAAAAGAGGTATTAAACTTTAAAAAAAACTTTTTTTGGTTAACATATAGTATAAGTAAAAACCTTGCAGAGAGTAGTTTTCCCTGTACCTAACACATATACAGTTGTGGCAAAGGATTAATATATATCAACGCCACAAAATGGTAAAAAAAAGTTTTAATAAATTAATAGAAAAGAAAAAATTATTATTTATATAGAATAACAAAGGACTGTAAAAGTCAATATAATTCAGTAAATAAAGATAATTAGGTAGCAGGTGTTTAAATGGTTGCATATAAACGGCCAAAAAACACATTGCTGCATTTTATTGGCTCTTCCTGTGTATGTACTTTAAATAAAAAAAGGTTCTCTGGATTGAAATAGGTAATTTAGAATTAATTATAAATGTTTTCTGTAAAGGGAGTTACTGGCTCGAACCAACATTTGAGAGAAGAGAGTAATAACTTTAGATCTTTTTTTTAATTAAAACATAATGAAATTAAAAAATTTTTTAAAATATTGCAAAAAAAGTCTGTTATCGTTTAAACGCAACATAAAACTTTCAAAACAAAATTAAATTTTTAATGTGAAGACAGCGGAAAAACATAACAATAAACTTTTACTTAATTATCTACTTTCTATAAAATAAAAAATCACTCAAACAAAAAGAAATATTTGAAATAATAATAAAGTAAAGGTGCTGACCAGGAGGCCCGTACAAAAACACCAGCCGGTTGTACGACATGACATTCTCGTTAATTCCAATATTTGAAAATAATGATAAAGTCAGTGCATAACTAAGTAACTGATCTTTTAAGGTCGATTCGTAAATCAGTGATTCCCTAGTTAAAATTTTTATGATATAAAATTTTTAATTATACAAATGGTAGATGATGCTCATGTTAGAGGCTTCTGTAATGTATAAGGGCTTGAATAGGCAGGAGAATTTTTTTATAAGAAAAAAGTACCAACTATTAGATTTAAGTGAATATTGAATTAAAAATTATATAATGCAACGTTACAGGCCGTGGAAGTGAGTGGAAGGAAGCATCCACTGCCTCGCGCAGACAACCTCGTTGTTGTCGCCTTGTTCATCACTTACGTAGTCTTCCAGCTAAAATATAATATTAATGTTAATTAAAAAACCACTTCTATTTTTCTTAAGTGAACGTTAATAATTAAATTTTAACATACTTTAATTTACCTGAAAAACTAAAGGTAATAAAGTTACGGGGTGCCCGGCAATAACGGCCTTTTTAATAAATTCATTCTCGCTTCCGTTTCTACTTTCCAAGTTAATGCTACAGATTTGATTCTTTCCCAATATTTTTAGGTGACATAAGCAAGATAAGGTAAGCAAATATGGAAGAGGATACTAAATTATTACAGAAAAACTTAGAATATTTCTAAAAATGCTTCCACTATGATAACCAAAATTAAACTTCCAAAAAGTTTTTATAGGAACTGCTGGGACTTCATCGTGGCATTGAAAATTTTTAAAAGCGTTTGTTAAAGTAGTGGCCCCTTCACCACTTTTCTTGTCTTTAAAGTTATTAGAAGCGTTGCTCGATTCTATTAACTTGGCTAACGCCTTGCAAACGATGCTTCCAAACTTTTCATTATCTAGAGCTTTTTTCTCTTCTGCAGTCGCTACGCGATTTATTTCCACGCTGAGCTGGTACGTTTTATTGAAGGAGGAGTGGCAACTGCTGACTTCACTTTTTGCTGATTCATAATCGACCTCGAGACATTTAAAAAAGGTCATTTCTTTATAGAAGTAGCTTTCTCATAACATTGGCCTTCTGTGAGTGAAAGAAATTATATGAACACGAAAGCAGTCTCTTTCACAAAAGAAAAGGCTGCAATTTTTTTTAAGATAGTTGGGGTACATAATTTCCGCCTTATTCTTAAAAAGAAAACACCGTAACTAAAATACTACTAACTTGCGAGAAAAAATTTTCATGTCGTTGTGCTACTTAAATTTTTAAAAAAGTTTGGCAATTTTATCGTGAAGAGAATTTTAGAGAAAAGATAAAAATTTAAAAGTTAGGGTTTATTAAAAAACTCTTTAACTATATTTAAAGCCGGATGATATAATTCCTAACTAAAATAAAAGTTAAAATTATATGATTTTTGACTAATTGCATCAAGAAAACAATTCATTTCCTCCCTGGTCCATGGTAGTTAAACAGCCCAAAAATACATACTTCGAATAGTATGGGAGTAGATTCTTTAACATAGTGTGTCGCTATTTACTTCAAGCCTAAATGTTTGTGTATGGGCCTTTTTTAAATGCTATCCAAATTTCTTGCGCACCATAAAAGGGTATCATGTTCTAAGTTTAATGTTCACGATTATCTTAACTTTAGGAAAAAACGCAGGTAGAGAATGCGCAAGTATACGCCTAAGTCAGTCTCTATTTTTTTTTAATGGAACTTCTAAAACATGTACATTAGAGGTTTAGGTCGAGGCGCTGGGCCGTATCGCCTCGAGTTCAATTACCATATCAACTTTATACAATAACGGGCATTATTCTTTATATCCAAATTTTATGAAATTTAATGTTCAGCTTTATCCGGCGCTAAGGTGAGTCATTTCACATCAATTTTTTAAACTCTGTTATAGGGAGTCTCGCATATAATAAGTAAGTTTACTTTTTTTAATATTTAAATATATAACATATACTTTTTATTCGATGTATTCTCAAGCTGTTGGTTTTTATTATTATTTTTTGACCCTCCCTATGAACTTAAAGACATGTATTAAAAACTTCTGTTTAAAAAGCGTAAAGAAGATAACGACCGATAGCACGAGTTGCTCCATGGTACGTAAGTGAGCCTTTGTCCTTTGTGGGTAGTTAATGTACAAATTATATTAAACAGAGTCGTTTGACAAAAGTGCAGATAACCTCATAGTAACTCTTTTGTAAATAAGGAATGATTAGAATATTTCATATAATAAACCTAAAATTCTTCAAAGAATTTGATCATTAACATGCATTTTATAATTACAAAGTTAATCCTATCAATTGTAAGCTAAATTTGGACTTACAGAGTTTTTTACACAACTTATTTTGATTGTAATTATAAATAAAAAATTAGGTTTGGTCGCAAAAGAACCAGGAAGGCTTGCTTGGAAAATTTCTCAACCGCTTCTCAATTCTTCTTCAGGAGAGCATTCGTATTTAATGAAACACAGATTAGATAGTATGAGGTTAGTTAATAGGCAGTCCGTAGAATGTGCATGAAAGCGCAAAAAAAAATTTAAGAAAAAAATCGCACATGGGACGAAAAGCACTTCTTCTCATTCTATGCAAGCCAAATCGCATGAAGCTTGGCTAGCGCTGCGGAGGATAACGAAGCGAAAATATCCCGTATTGTAGCTCTCCCTTAAAAAAAGTTATTGTGGAAAACGATAAATCTCGATGTACTTAAATATGCTGTCCGGTCATTAAGGAGCCGAGAAAATGGCGCTCGGGGTCGGTTCTCCCACCAGTGATATTTTTTAGCGATTTACTGTGCTCTAGGCTTGTTATTTCTCCACTGTTTCTCGGTCCTTAAAAACAGTAATTGTTCTCCTTAAAGGAGAGTCCATTGGTGAGCGAACTTAGGAAGTTGCTTAAGTGAAAATTTACCTTCTAAACTTTTTTTTCCTCCTAGTTTATTTCGTCTTTTTAATTAATAAAATTTTAATTTTTTATTTTTTTTACTTTTTTATTCTTACTTTGTTGTGTACATTAAACCTCTCTTTAAAAAAAATTTAAATGTGACGCATCTTGCTTAAAGACAGAACATTGCTAATCAGTTGGAAAACCTGGGGCAGTGCTTGGTTTCGCACAGCACGATGCGGCCGTCACGGCACGGTAGTTGGTTATGTCCTACACGGTAATCCCTAGCAGCACACATACTATAATTGAACGAGTTTAACTGTGGCTCATTAAGCCTTATTACTCAAAAAGTACTTCCCTTTTTGGTAATGCAGAGATTTCTTGAACTAAAAGTAACTTGCTAGATGTTGTGCTTAATAGTTATTCTTCTAAGTCAAAGTTGGCACAAAGGGTCGTCGAACAGAGAGACTTATGGCACACTCGTTATCAGCTGACGACTGTGGGAGATATTAAAATGCCTTAAAAACTACTAAATATGGAAAGGCGCTAAGTGTATAAAGAAACTTGGTTGTAGAAAAAAGAGAAATTTTATAAAAAATTGAGAACGTGCATTTTTGCGATCTTTGGTGGGCTATAGTGATACTAAAAAACGGTTAAAGACTAAGCAAAAAAGCTTGAGTTTGTGTATACATAAGGAATCAAGTCACTCCAACAAACATTTACTAGTATATATATAATCATTTGCTCTGTCATCATGGGGTAGTCTTGCTGGCAACGAATACTGCCAATTTTTTCCCCACTGATCAAAGAGAGACAACCTGCGAAAGTCTGCCCTAAAAAACCTTAGGTTCTATTCTTCTACCCCATGCCTTTTAAGCTTGTATACATTTTAAAAACGAAAAAAACAAAAAAAGAAAAAAACAAAGTACAGGAAAATAAAAGAACTTGTGGAACATTTAGGGTAAAAATAAAAAAAATGGTCCTTAAAATAATAAAGGCGGTTTAAGGGCATCGAAAAGGGAGCTAGAAAAAAAGTTGTTTTCATTAAAGCATGCTAAATTTTTAGATGATATTATGGATAGAAATAAATAATTATTTAAATAATAAACTGTTCTAGAATTCGCACTTGGCCGTCGACTTTGGTAAATTGGGGATAAAACAAAAATATTTTTAAATTTGTAGAAAACTAATTTTTTATAACATTGGAGAAAATTGTTTACACTATAAAGTTTTTATTTTTAAAGGTATGTTATAAAGTTTTTTAACTATAAACTTACAAAAAAGTGGTGGCGCTATTAATATAAAGGCGAACACTACTGTATTGCAATTTTTTTTAAAAATTGTTGGGCTTCCATACAAATTAAGATTAGTTGATGTTGGCTTCACTTTTTTACCGAGTATATGCGTATAAGTGTTGAAAGTAGTTAACTTTTAATACAAGTAGAAAATATAGTTTGGGTTTAAGTCAAATGCATAAAACTAAAAAGTATTTAATTGTTTAAAGTGGGTTTTGCAGTGATCAATTTTAAATAGCTTGTAAATGTTCTTCACTTAATACTGGCCCTACTAACAACTTATGTTGTTCAAAGACTTATTAAAGCTCGATACTACTGTTTATAAAAATTGAGGGCCTTTAAAATTACTAATACTTTCAATACTAATAAGATTTAAACTTATAAGTCATTGACAAATTGGTAGTTTAAGTTTATACTGTTGTATAACAGCTAAGTGGGTTTTTTTATAAACCCTACTAGTCTGACGTTTAACTTATGTTATTATTGGTATTATCGTTAAATACTATTAGATTTCCATTAAACTTCTACATTAACAGTTAAACTTTTTTCGGTGTAATGATTTTTTAGTAAGCATTTAGTTAATTTACAATAGAGAACCTAGAAGAGTATTCTGCATTCAACGGCCTTGGCTATTTGGTACAAAGATTGGAATCAAGGAAACGGTAATAGAGCCGTTAAATTCAGAATCATAATAAATGAGCTCAAACCTCATTTAAATTATTTTTTTTTTCAAATTAACTTTAATTATAATAGCTGCCAGTTCAGAAAAAAAGAAGTAATTCAAAAAATTTGAAGTGGCTCTTCACAATTTTCGGAGTTAAAGGTTTCTTAAATTCTCGCTAAAAGTCCTGTATAATAACAGAAGCTTTCCGTACTTATAAAATGTCTTCATAATCAGACGCTGAGCCACTTGTCATATTCCAAGGAGCAAGCAACCTATATCATTCTATTCATTTCCACCAACCAATTCATAGTCCTTATACAAACTCCCCCTCTCAGATTTATACCCAAAATTTTAACACGTCAACCAAGTTCGACTTGTGTAAAAATGAAAACTATCTTTCTTGGTACCAAAAAAAAGTTTTAGGTCTTAATTTCCTACTTGGAACTTCAACAAGTTTTAGCAATAAACATGATCAAGAATACGGATTTCACAATCACAGTAATGAAAAGTATTTTTTATGTGAAAATCACTCCCAATATGTATACAACTAGTAAAAAAATTACTTAATGTATTAAAACTTGGTAACATAGATAAATTCTAAAATAAAAGCTAGGCCTAATATATATTTTGTTAATAATAAAATTTCGAGTTTACAAGGTCAAAAAAATAGTTTACGTGCTAAACTAAACTTATTTTTAAAGGAAAAAAGCTCATGGTCAATTATTTTAAAATACAGCCCAGACGCATCTCTTTCGTGATTGGATTTGATTTGCTGTCGTTGAATACCTAAAACTCATATCAACTCGCTTGAAAAGAATTACAACATTTTCAAACGTTCATTTAAACAGAGAGAAATAATTCTTTTTTTACGAGAAAATATACGAAAGTAATAAATTAAGAAATTTTTTGCTTCTAATTTTATTATCTCGTAATATATTTAAGCTAGAAACATTTTTATAGTAAATGTAAAACAGTTATTTAATGTTCAACAGCCCTGTGAGTGTGCACTTAAGACGAAGAAATAAATATTTCTTGTGTTATATTGCTTATTTTTTTAAATATATAAATATAACTAAATTTAAGTAGAGCAGCAGCCTTTAGTATGAGAGTAATGACTACATTTGAGGTTTTAGCTTTGTATACATAAGCATTTTATGCTTACCGCGTGCCAGGATTGCGCAATGTAAGCCTCCAGTTCCATGGCAGAGTAACGAACCGTAGAAGGGCGCATAGTTATCGGTAGACAGGTTAAGTTGCGACCTAATAGCTGAAATAATTTAATTTGAAAAGGTAAGGGTCATCCTTTATCTCGTTAATATACATCATTTTTTATAATTGCTTCTCCTTGATGCTCCATTAAGTCAAACAAACTTTATATACTCGAGATCTCATACAAGTTAGTAAAGTACATTACTACAGTTAGTTAAAATGGTAGTAAATTTGAGTCATGTACAGTTGTATATTTCTCTTTTTTTATCTTCCAGCGCAAACTTTTATCTACTGCTACAGCATGCATTAAAATTTTTAGAGAACAATCAATTAGTAGGTCACTTCGTACACAAGGATAAAAAATTCTCCCGCACTCATATATTTGTTTTGGTAAAGTAATAGACCCTTCTTTTTTTCTTATATAAAATCTAACGCTACACTGGTTTGACCTCCAACTACTATGGAGATAAACTTTAACAAGGTTTAGAAATCAACTCCTTAAAAGCTACAAAAATTAAGTGAGAGCTAAAGTAAAAGTGAAAAGTAATTAGACAATATTAAAAAAAGAATAAAGAGATAAATGAGGTGAACTTGTAATTTTAAAAAGTACATAAACCCTTATTTAATTTTTCGATTACATTTTACCAACTCGAAAACACCACCTAATAAATACTTCTGTAAACTATGGTGTTGCGATCATATGCATTTATATTTAACCCAAACAAGATTTCTAGTTTTTTAAATACAAGTAAACTTAAATCTCTTTGATTAAATGATCTTAATAAATTATATGCAATTTTTTCTACTGTACTCTGTTATATACGACCAACACTACAGGGGAAGACCAGAGTAAAATTTGAAACGCAATATAATAAAAGCAAAACAGGCACAGACTTTAAACTTCAGCAGCTAATTATAAAAAAATTTGATCGTTCTTTATTATAAAAAAACTAAAATTAACCACAACGCAAATATATAATCATCGATAGGACTTCTGATAGCGAGCGCGAGCGCCCGGTCCACCGAATTTTTTAGGTTCGCAGCGGCGTGGATCAGCTACCAATAAAGATCGATCGTAATTTATAAGCATAGTCTTCATGGTATTCTTAATGCTTTCATCAACGTATTTCTGATGATAGGCTACAATGGCTTTCGATATGGCCTGACGTATAGCGTAAATTCTAGACACAGAACCGCCTCCACTCACGCGAATCCTCATATCAACAGAAGCAAACTTATCTTTACCTTTAAATAATAAAGGAAAAAAATTAAAAAACACAAACTATGGGGCACAATCTATAACCTAATAGAATAATAGGTTCTAAAACTTTAATTCGTAAAATTTCAGGTTCAAGGAGATCAATGGGGGTGCCGTTAACTTTCATTAAACCGCGACCCTTTTTGCAATAGGCTACGGCTGTTGCCGTTTTCTAAAAAAATATATAATTTTTACTACAGAAGTAAAAAAGTTAAATATTGAACAAAAAAAATAACCTAGATAGTACAAACTAAACTGTAACGGAAGTATAGAATAATAATAGACCTTGCGCCCAAAGCATTGTACTGAAGGTATAATGACCTTTTTTTTAGTTTCAGGCATACGAATAAATCTAAGTATGGAAAAAAACCTCAAAAAAATTCGTTTATATAAATTCTATATATATTAATATAAAACTACAGGCACTTAAAAAAGTCAGTTACCAGTATAATGACTAAAGCCAAATATGAGGTGCAAAGCAAGCCGAGATAAAAAAAAGGGTAGCTTAGCACTATTTTTATTCCTTAGAATCCCTTCCGTCCACGTGAATGCGAACGGCTGTTTCTATAAGCTGTCGATGGGTGGGAGGCCTTAACGTTTTTCGCTGTTAGCTCGTGCGATTTTATTTAAATAGCGTGGTAAACTTTAAATATAATAAGATTAATTAAATAGAACTACAAAGTGCGAAAAATCTCGAAGTATATAACATCATTTGTAAAAAATTTAATTACCTTCCCTTGTCTTTTTTTTACCTTAAAAAAATTAGATACAACTTGTGAAATGCGTGCAGACAACGTTCTAAGTTATTGTTTTAAATATAGTAAACTTCGGTATTAACTACAAGGAAAACTTTCCCTTAGTGTTACCTGAGGCATTACTTCAAGTTTGTATTAACCGTTGCACGCTTACATGTAGATTTTAATTTTACTAATTATACATACACAAAAATTGTATTATAATGTTTTCTTCGTTATTTTATCGGCATTACTTATCATCAAAGTAGGCTTTCTTTTTTTAATTATTCAGCTGCGTAGTATGTGTCGTAGTTATTTTTGTTAAGTTATCTTTGGCTTTTTAAGCCATTATTTGCGTACGTCTCCTTGAAGAAGAAGCCAAAATTTATATGCAGAGACCAGCTTCTAATAACTTTCTTTTATGCCCACTTTTTATTAATGTAGTGTCTTAAAGCATCATCTTTCTTTATAGAATTTTGAAGTTTTTTTTGTGGTATAATCTGGTAATAGTGAAAGTAACGCTTAATTAAGAAGTTAATGAAAACTTTTCTGTAACAGCTCTGTATATTAGCAATAAAGGTATTGTAATGTTGTCGTTATAATTTCGTTATACCTGACGTAAGGTACTCTTCCCTCTGGGATAATTAGTTGATTATTCTTCTCCTTTCCTTCAAAAAGAGAAATTTCTGCTCTGCCTCGGCAGACAAGTCGGGGGCATTCCTTTTTAAGTACCTGCATTTTTCGAGTTCCTGCGCCCCGGAAGCTCTGCCGAATTTTTTGATTAATTCAAACAAGTAGGAGCTCAAACGCAAACTCCGTACTTTGACGGAAATAATCTCCTAGCCTGGAAGGAAAAGTTAAGTTATTGACCGCTGTAAATGAACGCGATCGGGTTTAAAAAGGGATTGCGCCCCATACAGTGGACGTTGCAGTGCTTGCAAAGCAGTACGCACGTGCTGCCACCCTCCGTTCGCTCTCACTTTGTGCTCAGGCCATTAACCACCTACTCACCACCGATACCCCACGTAAAGCATGGGGGTCGCCTTTTTAACGGTGTGAGAAAAGGTTGACCCATAGTCTGTTCTACAACAAGCATAAACTGTACCATTTAAGCCTCTCAGAATACGCAAAGAGAGAAGGCCATTGGGGACTTTCTCTGTTACAAGGGCATTTGGGTTTGCTTTCTGAATGGTCTACTCGACGAATACTCCGACGTCACTAGCATCATTAGTTCCCAACATGAGCAGGGCACTCTCACGGGGGTTGACAATGTGAATATTGTGCTTGCCGCTGGGTGGGACGTGAGAGGATAGGGGGGGATGAGAAGTGGAGGGACTTATGTCATGTGCCGGGTCTATAACAAGTTTCTCGCTGTGTTCTTGTCCGAAGTTCTTGAAATGAGACAAAACGCCCAAGCAGACTGCCTACTTTGCGATTCTTGCCGGTGATACCAAGCGTTACTGACCTGCCCCCAATATAATAAGATCTTGCATAGCACCCTTCTTGGTCTTGCATTGTCTAAAATTGGCCTATGTAGAGGTTTAGTTGAAAGGCAATGACTATTATTGACAATGGCGCATGCGTCAATATACCCAATGACCATGCACCCTTCTAAACTCTACTTAACGAAAATAGATTATGAATACCAAAGGACTTTATACATGCAACTTGTATAGGAGCAGTTACAATTTAAAGTCTGGAACTGAAAGCCTGTTGCTGCAGGGTGATTAAGTTATACATACCCCCCGTTGATAAACTTGACAGCAGTGTACGAGTCTGTTCTTTTACAAGAGAAGTTACTTGGCCCCTGCTGAGACAGAAGAGTGACGTTTTAAAGCATACTTGATCACTCGACGGTGTAAGACGTCCCATTTGAAGGGATAAGGTGGCTCCATATTCTAGTAAAGCTGAGGAATATTTTTATCCCAAGGACTCGTAGATGGATATACTTTAAGAGGACTCAATGTTACTTATAATTTACCCCATACCCCTCAACGCAATGAAAAATGCTAAAAGGAGCAATCAGACAGCATTTAAACACGGTGAGAGTTTTGCTATATGATTCTGGGTTACCCCAGAGTACCTGTAGGGAGGAGCTCTCTTATACAGCGCGCAAAAATTTAAAATTGTCTAAGTACCAGCCGTAACGTCCTCTCTACTGCTTATCAATTAATACCTACATGTAAACCGGACAGGAAGAGTTTTCAACTTATAACGAGAGCTTATACTCTGAAGTATACCCCGCGAGGAAAACTGAAGGATTGAAGAAGTAAAAGACACTTCGTAGAAGAACACTTAAAAAAACCCATTTTATAGATATGCACCTGACTTTGAGCCATCCACTTCTTATGCTCTCTCTTCTCTTGCGTACCCTCTCCCCAGCGGCAAGCACAGTATTCATCTTGTCAACCTGGTCAGTCATTTTAAATTTCTTATCAAGGATAGCCGTAACAACACCCTGGAAAGGAAGCTTAGGTTGGAGATATATGATACCAATGACGTTGAAGTAATCGTCGGATAGACCGCTTAAAAAAGCAACCAACATGTCCTCCTCACTGAAATATAGTCCGCGTGGAAAGCTTGGAGATCTGAGCCTTAAAGAATTTTTTCATTGGTCTGGAGCCGAAGAGCTACTCCTTTAAAACTGAAACCTGAAGTTTTTAAAATACTAAGCGGTAGGAAAGTAACCTTTAATGAATTGCTTATACGACAAATAAACCGAATTCATCTGCAAACCCGTATACTACACCTACTAGCTCAGTAAAATTAACACAGCAGGCGTCCTACGTTTGTGACATCTATAGGAATCGGATACAGTACGAAAACTTAGCGCTGAGAATGTACCTAATGATGAACCGACGCCCTCCCCCCGGCAAACCCTGGATAAGCCCCTACTACGGCCAATACCCACCCCGAAACAGATGGAAATGCACCCATTGCTACTGCTATCACCTAAGACCCTCGACGACACACTATACCTTCTGAAAGCTCATCTTTAAGTGTAGCTGAAGGTTTAAAACGCAGAAGTTAACGAATTGCCTCGCATCGAGCAATGGACACGAGAGTCTAGAAAATAAACCAGGCTTGGATATACAATCCAGTGTGCCTCTAATTCTGCGCTCTTATCCTATGCGCTTACTACGCATTCCAAAGAGGCACTGGAATGGTTAAAGTCCCGTCAGCATGAACTTAACCATATTAAAACCGGACATGGATACTTGCCACCAGCTGCACGTTATAAGATTAGCTATTAGTGGGCCCTCGTAGTGAAAGATAATGTTGATGGCACAATTGATCTATACAAGAGCCTCATTTGTGCTAAAGATTACAAGCCGGTATACGGAGTCGGCTACCTAGATACTTTTAGCGCAGTAGCCGATAATAACTCAGCGATGCCAAAAATGGAAGAGTTTTAATTTGATATTGATTGCGCTTTTATTATACCACCGCTAACGGAAGAATCTACAAGAAAGTGCCTAGTGGTATTAAACTGCCAAAAGGGTATAACTGTGTGTGTCTCTTAATGCCTGGACTGAAACATCCTAGAATGAGGTGGAATGCGACTATACATCACCTCCTTAACTACGGCTCCCTCCAGTGTAATAGCGTCCCTTGCGCGTACCACCTCTAGAAAAAGGACTATTTCACGCTACTCCTCTTATACGTAGTAATTTCCTAGTCGCATCCCCGAGAAAAGAATATCAAAGAACTAGGAAAGACAACTTAAATGCTTAAATGAATGTCACCAGAATGACTTTGGTACGATATTTTGACCGAGTTTAGGCTCGAGATAATAGTATCAGTTACTATAGAATGTAGCGAAGTATAGAGTATAGGCACTGTATCAAGAGAATGCTAGTAGCTGGTATATAGATTAGAATGCCCTCGGCGAGCCCGACTGAGGAATTTTTTTTTTCTGAACTAGGGTAAATATATACTGAAATATAGCCAGATTCAAGATGACTAATGTCAGTCGCTAATGCTGATACTGGCAAAGTGAAACCTTACAGAGAGTTGGTCGGTTTTAGGCCGGATATAGCTTTTGCTGTGAATAGAGCTGCCAGAAATTTTTTAAACCCTACTAAGGGTTACTGGAAAGCAGCCCAGCGTATCTTTAGATACTTGGTAAATACGAAACGCTACAGGTTCTACTACCCACGCAATGTGACATTCGCTTTGGAGGATTTTTGCGGTAGCGATTATGCCGGTCGTCTTAGAAATCGAAGTGCGACAGAATACATCTTTACGGCGAATAAAACTCCTGTTGTTGAAAAATACATATTTGAATAGACAACGGCCCTGTCGACCATGAAGCGGAGCTAATGGCAGTAGAGGACGCGACGAAGGAAGCTTATTGGTTACGCTACTTTAAAACTTGCATTGGTTTGAACCTAATATATATCGCAAATCAGAGCATCATGAATCGTTGAACAACATTGATATCAAACACCTTGTCAATCATGATGAGCTGAATAACAATAGTTTCTCCCTGAAATAGAATACTTTCGATAGCATTATGGCGGGTCTGCTTACCAAGTTTGCGCCTACTAGGAAACTAGAGGATATATATTCATACGTGCTTACAACACGCGACTTTGTAACGTGTCGTCGCACGCGTTCTATCCTGTGTGACATTTATTATAAATTCCCTGAAAGTAAAAGTATATCCTTCCCCTACGAGACAATAAACTGAGCACTCCTTTTTTTTTTTTTTACTCTGTCAGTTTCATAACGATTATAGTTATATGTTATCAAGAAAACTTTTTATCATTATGGTTCCTGTTAGAAGATTAATTTGATCGGCGACCTATTATTGAGATTTGCTTAATAATAGTTTTTCCACCGTATATATCAGTATTTGGTATTCCCTGTTTCATATCGCTCTGCAAATTGGGTAACGTATTTTCTCGCATTCTCTTGACATAGGCTACTCTGAAATAAGGGTTTAGTTTCGGTGTTATTCTGTATCTTTGTTGAAAACCTTTAGTATACTTTAATCTTAAATTTATTTTTTTTCGGTTCCCACTTCCTGTACCAACTTTTATGACTCTAAAGAACATTAATTATGTATACTTATTCTAGTAGATCCTTTTGTAGAGTCCAGTATTACTATTTATATGCCTCCCTTTCGTAAGAGCGTATACAAAAGTAATGATCTTATAACTACCTTACCCCATACCAGTTCCCAGCGCTATAATATGGTCTTGTATCACTTAACAAGTTTTTGTAAACAACTTTCAACCGTCACCCTTTGAGGTCTAGATCTACTCATCAGATTCTTAACTAGTAACCAGCCCGTATGTATGCAGCGTCCAGAAAGTTAACGGGATACCAATGCTACTCTCTTTTCCCGTATGAGAACTGCACGTTCAGTTAAACCCTTTCAATTATAATAGAATTACCTTTGGTTCCCACGCGATCTTACCACGTGTAATAGTCGGTTCCTCTGTATAATTGTTTGTTTTATTAATATATTTATAGCATTTTGTGGTGCTCACTCGGTCAACAAAATTTCTGTTAGTGCACGGATAACGGTCCTCCCATGGGCTCCTGCCAGCTCTCTATCAAGGCTTCATTGCATTGAAAATGAGGCTCTAGTTTGGATTTTGGTGCGTAAAGCATTATTACGCACAAAACTAGCTTGTTTTTTCTCGTATAAAACGATAATTGGCTTTTAAAAAAGTCATATAAATGAAAAAAGAGTTATATACTTATTAATATACAATACTAAATATAACTTCAAAATTCTTTTCAGTGGCCATGGAGACAACAAGAGTATTAAAATTGAGGGATACAGGCTCCCACATTTCTTTGTTATTGTAAAGACTCGCTACTTATATAATTGATTTCCTACCCCTTTAAGATGGCCATCCACTTTTTGGCCTGTTTTGAAACCAGCAGTTATAATGCACGCTGTGGCGTCTGAGAGTATAAATTAGTAAATACCGCATTACAATAGACAATGTTGGGCTAGAAAAAGGAAGCATTAAAGATACACTGCCAAATTCACTTAATAGCTCTTGAAAGCACTCCTGCCTATACCGGTACAACTATAAACTCCCGCTTTACTGAACAAAGCTGTTGCCGAACTCAAGCATGCAATGACAAAAGCTCATATCAACGCAACGACGATATGCGTAGCTACATGTCGCCTTAACTTCCGAGATGTGGGGCTAAAGGCGTTGGTATGAGAGCGTTCGCTCCTCATTCGAGTGGTTCTTTCAGAGCGTTTAACAAAAACTGGCACTAAATCGCCTTCACCAGCGGATTAGAATAAAACTGATGGCGCACTTAAACAATTAATGGGGTAACAAATTGAGCAAAGTGAGGGAAACTGGAGACCTCGGTCGCACCTCCTTCTGGAAGATAAGTCGAGCAAGTTAGAAATAGCTGGTTTTCACCTTGGCCTTAACTGCTCCGCAAAAATACTGTAGCCTAAAGCGCTGAAAACTTTATAAAACTTTTTTTCTTGGTCGTCTGATTAACCAGTGTTTACAACCTATCTGACTGTCAATAACGCTCTCCCTGAGCCGAGTTATCTTACAGCCATAATAGCTGATACCATAGAGCGGCCTACCGCAGAACAAGATCAAATCCTATCGCCAAAGAGCTACAGAGGCGAAAGATGCCTAGCTTTGACGGCATCACTTGCTTGATGTTAAAACAAGTAACGGAGGCAGCTATGGAATATTAATGCTGCGTCGTCAACTTAATAGTGGGCTTCGGTTTTTTTCCCGTTAGATGAGAATGGTTGTAGTTCACCAAAGGCATCACAATTGGCATTTGAGTCTTACAAGCCCCCACCCGTCTGCCTTTTGTCGGCAATATGCAAGGTTAACCGGAGTAGTCATGCTAAATCGTTAGACGGCAATTGTTAACCCTCGTAAAAATAATTCAAAGGGATTTAACAGCCCAACACATTTTTCGCCTATCCAAGTAGACCATACAAATATTTAGAATTAAGGAAGCCATTAGAGTTGTCTGTTTAAAGTCAAGAAGGTTTTTACCTGTTATAAAGGCTGCATACCCTAGAAGTATTGCGCGTCTTGTCAGACGTGTTCAAGTCGTATCTAAATGACTATGTCTTCAGCATGCAAGTGGGTGCCGCACTGTCGCCGCCTCGCAGCGGGAGTCCCGCAGGGTTCTCTTCTATCACCGCTTCCATGCACACTCCATACATGCGAAATACCGCGTGATTCGCTTATGATTCGACGCTATACGACAATGTATAGTCAAAGTAACCCTATTACTGGCATCATCTATATCTTTATCTAGACTTAGCCCTCTCTCTTAACGCAGCAAAGAATAACCCGCTTCTTTTTACAAAGAATTACCTCATCTAAAATATTAGGGGGCATAAATGCTAAGCTCTCGTGGCGTCGGCACGTAAATTAAGTAAAGGCAAAGGTCAAGGCAGTCACACAACCCCGCTTAGCTGTGCCACATGCTTTTGTTGCACTATAAGCGAGGGCTGTACGTGCTGTGCATTCGGCCGATCAAGGCGTATGAAAAAATAAATAGATGTGCCTTTTAACAAAAGTCTTTTGGTTTGAGCGCAGTGATACACTACATCACAAATATAAGCTCAGCTGCTGATTACAATCTTTGAAAGCAAAGCCATCGACATTTACGAACGGATAGCTAACACGCTAATCGTGAGGCTTCGAGCAATATCACCATCCGCGCTACGCACTCTTAGCGGGTCGGAATCTGTTAGGTAGTTAGCTCTATTAGATTTAATAAAGGTGAGGTTCAGAAATGTAACAACCCTCTAGACCGAAAAGACAGTCGTGTCAGTGGAGATCAAACCCACGACCTTAAATGTTCGCGTCAATGCCTTAACCGCTGATCTATGATGACAACCATCAATCCTGTTATGATGGTTTTATGTGCGTTGATTTCACAGCTGCAAGTCTTTGAATTCTTGCATAGTATAGGCAGTAAATTGATGTAATATAAATAAATCGAAGAACTTGAAAGCACTGTATTTATTTGGTTATCATTGACTCTTCAAGCGCACCAAACCCAACTGCACAACGTAGAAAAATAAAAAAATTGCAGCATTTATTTATTTATTAATGACAGTGCCTGTGCTTCGAGTTAAACTTCGAATTCTCGAGCTCATAATCATCGCCGATATTACAACTAGCATTCAGGGTGTCTTTAATTTTTTGCATCAATGAAAAAAAAAATATCGCTTAAGCGGGTCACGTGGGCGGCGATTACGTGCCCCGTCATGGCTAGTAAGTTCGCTCACCAGCATGCGATTAGTGTCTCTAGTGAGCCTGCTGCAGAGGACCTCGACATGCCTTTGGAAGACAATGTTCAAAGGGTTCAGCTGAAGATCCCGGTGAAGAGCCTCATCCGCACAAACCACGGCATATCTATCAGAACACGCAGGAATTTGTTCTGTCGCACTTGAAGTGCCGAGACATCGCAGTGGGCGTAAGCAGCAGACGCTTATGTCATTATTAGCTGGTTATAACACAAATACAATTGCCGTTTGTTGCCATCTTCCATCGAATAGGAAAGGCACCAAGGAGCATAGAAGATTTTTTAAGTAGGTAAAGATAGTGCATCCTTATTAATGGTATTTTCTTCATCATCTCAGTGATGCCATCGGTGCGAGGCTCTTTTAGTAGCGCTTCGACAATTGCTTGCACCTCGGCGACATTAACTGGTTTAAGTGGTTCGTAGTTAACGGGGAGAGGTAAGCTCAGAGGAGGAGACGCGTTATCATTAGCAGTATAGTGATGGCTGGCACGTTAAAATTGCAGCGTGCGCTCGAGTCAAACTTATATAATCAAATGTGCACTGTCTAAGAACTACCCTCTTATTGAAAACACGTGTTAAAAATCAAACGAGGACATATCAGAGTGCTAAATATGCGAAATATCGACTCGATTCGGACCCCAGGAAACGCTTTTTACAAAATAGAAATTATAGTAGTATGCTTTAGTTCCTGCGGTTGGTTTGGCGCTAGTTTTTTTTTAGTTCCTAGTGAAGTAAATGATTTATGAACTTGAACTTGTTCCGGAGAGTAAGGTTACTTTAAGATCCTCTTAATTTTGGATAGCTTTATGGTTTTTACTTTATGGAGGTTATTAATTTTATTTTTATTTTAGGCTAAGTTCTCAGATATAATTAAAGAAAGATGCATATATCTATCAGAAATATTGTTAAAAAGGTCTTCTAATTTAGCCGTAGGAACTCTTGCTTTTATACGACCTCTATCCTCAGTACTTCTCTTACAACCTTTTATGAAATTTATAAAAAGAAATTAAACTTAGTTTATTGATTATATAGGATAACGTAAGGTGTTCGTGTGCTCGAGTTTGGTGCTCTAAATTTCTAAACTCTAACGGTAGTTTTAAATTTTTTAATAAAACCTCTTTTTTTACTATTTCATTCTGTAGAATGTATAGTTAGTTCTGGCATAAGACATTACTTAGAGGAGGTACACGTACTTTCAATTTATAAAAGATTATGCTTTTTTTTTTAACCTAAACGTTTTAATTAGTGGATATCTTGTTAAATTAATTTATTTATAATTATAAATAATTAACTAATTATATCACAATTTTTTTAAAAATAGTTATTAATTTTTTTTAGAACCCGCCTTATTATTGATTTTTAAATATCATTTTTAATTAACAATATACTTTTTGTATAATTTTTTTAATAGATTACTTTTTTTAGTTTTTGATTTGTGTTATTGTTTCCGAAAATGCAGGAGAATCTTTTTTTAATATTTTTTAAGTTAATTTTTTTTAAAATGTGTTTTATTTAAAGGAATACACTATTTAAAAGAAGACTATTTTTTTAAAATTAATTACAAAATGATCTTATATCTGACATTTACGTATTTTACTCTTCTATATAATTATAATTATTACACTAAATTCTGTAATTTCCGACACGCATACTGGAGTTTAGCAGTATATTTTCACTTTAATCTTATTATATTACTCTTATTTTTCTAAAAATTTAAGATTTCCTATTCACCTGTTTTTTAACTGTAAAAAGCAGCTTTCTATTATAAAAGCAAAAAAAAAACGATATTATATATAATTATAAACTATACGATCGCGTGTCTACTATTGTTTTCGTTAGTAACATAAAGAATTAAAAATATATATTGTAGTTTGGGGGCGCGAGTTTATCCACGACAGTTTAGCTATATAACAAAAATTTCAAAGCCTACTCGGCGCTTCTGAGCTGTTTTCTTTTCGCGACTGCAAGCTGAATTAGATTCTGAACAACATTATTCTTTTAAGGTTAACAAAACAAATAGCTATAATGAATTCATTTTTTGGTTTCTGCAAGTCCCCGACATAAGAAATCGGTAAAACGATTTCTTTTAAGCTTAAGAAATATGAGAAAAAATATATGGTTGCCCCGCTTAAGAAAGAAATCTCGCTTTTTAAAGTAAAAATTTTTTTTATTTAAAGATCAACTTAGAAATTCGGTGGTGTAAAGATTAGCACGACAAGAGAGCCACCACTTTTGAAGGACTAAATCATCTTGCGAGCTTTTATACTATTAGTGTCTTGAGATCATTGAAAATCAGATTCACGTTCTCCACACTGAAGCGCCAAACTTGCCCTCTAATAAAAAAGGTGTTTAACATTTGTAAAAAATAATTTATGTGATGACCTTGAGCCAATAAATGGTATAAAAAGCTTGCAAATATAGCGCTTTACAGAATTTTTTGGAGTGCGCGTTTTTTTGTATCAATTCTACACAATTTTAGTTCTATACAGCCTTAAAATTAATTTAAAACTTTTAATTGAATTATTCAGAGGAAGCCTTTCGCGTAGTATCTATCATTATTGTGTCGCATTTCTAGTGATTTCTATAAGCAATCTCAATATGACTGTTATTAAACTGCTTGTAACCAATAGAATTTTTTTTTGTTCACACATATGGGCATAACTTAGAATTTTGATAATATTTGATGACGTTAAAAGAATTTATAACGCTGTCACTGTTTTAAAGTTTCTTTATTTTAAAATAATAATGAAACATATTTGCCTACAAATTTTGCATGCAACAGTTCATCGTGAGAGTGGTGTGCACGATATTTAAAACAATGGGACGTTAATCTGACTTACGTAGCTTTCTTTAAAGGGAAACTCCGAGTATATATTTTTTGTCTTCGTTTTAGTGGAAAACGGTTCGTGAAACCAAAACTGGTAACTGCATTGACATCATTGTGTTATTAGCTTGCTTGATAAGTTGCTGCGGAGCATAACAGCGTGGCATTTACCATATAATTTCAAATTGTCAACCTTTTAGCTTGTACCTTCATTCATTATATACAAGTGCCATACCACCATATAGATATGAGGGACTGCATTTTAATTCAAATGATATATTCGTGTTATTTCAGTTTATATATCAACTTTAAACTCTTGGCTACACCTTTTAATACTTTAATTTACGTCAACGTCTACAACTAACTATAATGTAAAATAATGTTTGCATTAGAGTTTTGGGAGTAAACTACTCGTAACTCGTGTTTTAAACGCTCAAATACTATTGGCCGATAAGATAACTTTAACTTCCTGTGTGGCTGATGAGTTGATGGCTCCTTTAAAGTCGTATATACGCGTGACTTTAAGTATTCTATATATTATATTTTTCTCTCGTGTTCTGCGGGTGTTTAGTTGTAACTTTCCAGGAGTAATAGTAGTTTTCAGCATAAACACACTTTTTTACTAAATTAAGTAAAAAATAAAAAATTAGGATAAATATTTTTGGCCATAGAACGTAAAGTCAAAATTTTTTTTGAAAAAAATTATGAATATGTTCAGGAAACTTTTACCTATGCAATAAAGAAAAAATTGAGATATCTGTGTCTGGGAAGCGGATGGATTTTACTTGTGTCATAAATGAAGACATCGATGCTTTTAACGATCTCAGCAGTTCTTTTGCCAGCCTTAATATTTTAAGTAAATCTACTTGCTGAAAAGTTCAGTATTAGTATAAAGCGTTAACTTTTTTAAGTTTGGTGTGCTTATGACTTTTTTTATGCTCAGCCTCCAAAAACATCAAACTTACAGCGGTCTATAAAGTCACGAGCGAAACTAGCTTTGAACTTACTGTATAGCTTCTTTTGTTAGCTGCTCTAGACTTTAGCAGATCCTTTATTTATTATAAATAACTTATAGTGTGTAAAGGAAAAACCATGCAATGAAGTTCAACAGTCGAAAGTTATATTTTATTCGTTTCTTAAACGTTCGAATTGTGAATACTTTTTCGACATACTAAAGGTGAACTTTCACGACATTGGCGGATTAGATTCCGAACTGGAAGAGATTCGCTCCTTTTTAAAAGTTCCCCTATTATCTTCAGAATTGTTTCTAGATTTTGGTTGGCTTGTTTTTTTTATGACGTAACAATTCCGCCCCTGACTGCATGTTAGGCTTTGTTCCGCCGAAAGGGCTACTTTTATATGGCCCACCTGGTACTGGAAAAACTCTTATTGCTAAGTATTTGATCGCATCGATTTTCTAAGCGTGTCATGGTATACTGATTTTAAACAAAAGAGCCATAGCTAATGAAATGCGCGTCAACTTCATTACGATTAACGCAACCGAAGTCTTAGCAAAGTTTTACGGACAATCAGAAGCAAAAGTTAAAAGACTAATCACTTTATTATAATTACTTTTAAAATTATAGTAAGCCTAATACTAGTGAACTTAACGTGTATTTTTTTTCTTTTTAAAAGTTTAGCCTTTATTACAACCTTCTTTAGCTGCGAAGTGTATTCCACACAGCTGCGCAGTCTTCTCCTTGCATCATATTTATAGATGAAGTTGATGCGCTTTGTCCCAAGCGGGAACACGTAGAGATTTATAAATAAAAATAAAAGGTGGGCATTTTTTCTTATTATTTGAAGGCCGAAACAGAAGTGGAGAAGCGGGTGGTGACCACTATGCTTTCATTGCTGGATTCCATCTCTAACGGAGAGAAGCAAAACTGGTGACAATCATCCTTAATTAATAGTTGCTAGTACTCATCTTTATATTTTCAGCCGAGTGGTAGTCATTGGCGCCACAAATGCTCCCGATCGGCTTGACTCGGCTCTGCGCCGACCAGGCAGGTTTGACCGCGAGATAGAAATCGGTCGCTTTTCTCGTGCCTGCATGTCGCTTTTGTAGTTATTTTGGTTGAAGGCATTCCCAATAGTAAACAGCGCCTCTGCATACTGAAAAGGCTTCTCGCTAAAACGCCCCATACAGTCTCTGATTCGCAGGTCTCTCTTTTCCAGTCCTCCCATTGGCTTATTCTATCCATAGTGTCGGCAGTTGGAATCCATCAGCGCCCTCATGCATGGTTACGTCGGAGCTGACGTATCTTCTCTTTGCAAAGAGGCTGGTTTGCCCTTTCTCTCCGTCCCCTTCCTCAATGACTAATGAAGCCACTGTAGGGCTGCTGGCTGTTAAGAGGACCATGTGTTCTACTGGTGAAGAGGACTCGGCTGGACTTTCCGATTTGGTTGTTACTGAAGCCGACCTGCGGAAAGCGTTAACATTAGTTCGCCCGAGCGCCATGCGCGCGGTTGTTGTGGATGTCCCACAGGTGTACTGGAGCGACATTGGCGGGCAGGAGGACACCAAGCAGAAGTTACGCGAAGGTTTGACTTTCCTTTAACCATACAAGTAGAAAGTGAGGGAATTCTCCTGTCTTCAGCGGTCACGTGGCCTCTCCTCCACCCCGAGGCGTTCCTGCGGATGGGCATACGGCCTCCTAAAGGCGTGCTTTTGTATGGTCCGCCAGGCTGCTCAAAGACGCTTCTAGCGAAGGCTCTTGCTACTGAGTCGCAGCTGAACTTCATATCCGTGAAGAGCTCAGAGTTGACTTTTATTTGTTTCAGAAAGTTTGTAAAAGTTTTTATTATTTTTATACAACAGTCTTTTTAGTAAATGGGTCGGGGAGAGCGAGAAGGCCATGAAAGAGTTCTTTCGAAAAGCTCGTGCGGCATCGCCTTGCATTATATTTTTTGACGAGCTTGACGCTATTGGTGTGACCCACCATAGCATTTTGATTGGCTTTGATACACATGTACCTTTCTAGCGGGAAAACGGGGTAGAGACAGCGGAGAGAACAGCGTGGCAGACCGCGTGTTGACACAGCTTTTGAACGAGCTAGACGTCTCTATTCCGCTCTTTGTATTAGGCAATCTGTACTCTTGACTAAATTATAACCTTAAAAGGGTGTCGAGCCTTTAAAAAACGTGACGTTTTTAGCGGCGAGCAACCGACCGGACGCTATAGATCCTGCCTTGATGCGGCCCGGAAGAATCGACCGTATACTTTTTGTAGCGCCTCCCGACGAATCTTCAAGAAGAGGTTTTTGTTTAGTATTCTCCTCGCTATATTATATAAGTATAAAAATTCATCTAGAAATTTTTACTATTCACCTGAAAAAGATGCCTAATGACTTAACAGACGTTGAAGTGGATGAACTCGCGAGGAAAACATCCTTTTTTTCCGGTGCCGAGATCGTGGCTGTCTGCCGAGAGGCCGCGATGGAAGCCTTGAGACGAGTTTCTGAGTGCTTCTCTTTGGAGTTTACCTCTCACCGCTTTTTTACTAAATATTACAGGATAACGACACCACTTGTATAAGATATTCGGACTTTGAAAAAAGTTTGTGCTCGTTTCAGCCTCAAATTACAGAAAGCATGATGAAGTATTACTTGAACTACTCGACGGGGAGACTATGAGTTGTGTTTTCTTTTACATTTCTTAAATAGACTATTTAAAAACACATTCGTTGAACTATTAGTTATTGTTAGTATCAATAAATATCCGGAGGCTTACAAAGTTTTCCGCAAGTTGAGTTATTTAGAAAGCTGCATTAACCTTTACATTAGTGTTTCATGCGCTCAAAAATAAATAAAGTTAATACTTTAGCGCATACTCGACAAGGCGTGTGATTATACTTTTAAATTCTATAACAGTAGTATAAAAAGTCACGTACTTATCGCTATACAATTTCTTTAACAATGAGCGGTCGTGCAGCTTTAAACGTTTTTCCAACATTCAAATATTGTTGTTTTGCCAAATTTAACACTCAAAAAACTTAATAAATAATTGCTTGGGATGGTCTGCCTGTATATAGAATATACCGTTAAATAACACTATTCTCATCTTTATGGTATGGGCACTTTATAGTCTTGATGCTTCTAGACTCAGAAAAACTTGGTTTATGTTATAAAGTTACACGGCTATCATTCTGGCAATCTATATGAAACTTAAAAATAGTCTTTGTAGCGCCCCCTAGATCACCCTTCCAAATTTGTAACTAAAAACTAATGAAAAGGGATGATTTTCAGTTGTAAGTGAAATCCATTGGGGGGAACTATAATAACAATACGCTGGGACCCGTCGCGGTTGGTGCAGTACGCCTCTAATTTGCCTAAATAACGAACTTAGAAGCGAACTGTAAAGTATCAGTCTGGGTTTACGTCCCTTAAACTCAAATAATACGGAGTAACCTTGTATAATTATGATTCATAAAGGAAACTTGGAGTGAATTTACTTCAATTAGCCAACTTACCTACAAGATAAATATTAAAATTAACTTAACTTAAGTAGCTTATCTGTAAAAGTATTGAAAACTCGAAGAACTGTAGTTCAATTCTACATTTAAATGTAAAGGTCATGGCTTTCAATTTTATTATTTAATTACGAGTAATAACACTCTTCTATCCCTGAGACTAGTCAAGCCGAGTTATGGCTTTGAAAATCCCGTATAAGAGGTAGGAGACTCGTTCTCTTGTCTCATTTCCTTGAGGTTATCCCTGCATGCAAATTAAACTATTTTTAACATTATCTTAACCATTCTTGTTGAGTCTCGCAAGGAACCAATAGTGCACTGTAATCTCAGAGCCAGGCTTTATTCGTCCCTAGTTTAAAGAAAGATTCTACCTCAGCAGTGTAGGTTGGTGCCTATAGCGGAGGCATTTAACGCCTTTATTTGTGGTGCTTACGACTGTTAGCTCGGATCTTTTGAGTTTTCGTGCACTAATGTACGCTCTGACGGAGCAGGATTGCTTCTTTGTCCCTAGGCTGTCATCGTAAAGCGTCCGAAAAAGATCGGACCTATAGATTAAATCAGCGTCAACCGGCGGCGTTTTATTCCGCGCGGGTTGCCAAGTTTTCGATCTAGGTTAATCAAAATGTTGTAATCCAGAGATGGAATGTTCTATTCAAGCACACTAACCTTGAACGGGTCATTTAAATGTCTACTCAGCAATGGAGTCAGAACTTTGTCTCGGTCAACTCTAACCATATCAACTAACACGAGCGGCTAATAAACTGTGAAATCCAATGTAGCGTGATTATGGTAACTTCATTAAACCTCTGAGTTGAGATATGTACAATACTTTGGAGAGCTCTAGAGTTGCAAGAAATAACCTTATGTTATTGACGCCTGTATCGAAAGATATGCTCTTAAACCTGGCAAAAACTCGTCGGTTGCTAGTCCTTCGGCAGGTGAAATCTTCCTTTTAACTTTGGATGTCTCATTGTGGTATATATTCTGCCTTGTGCCTGATGCTTTCGGATTCATTAACTAAACTTGACACGTTCTATAGTTGACCCTTGTTGATTTAAAATAAATAGGCTAACTAACCTTGCTAAAGTAAAATTTTACGCTACATATACTGTTATAGCCTTTCGAAGGAGTTTTATAACTAATACACCTGGAAAGATCATATGAATCCCTTGGTAAAGCTTTGGGCGCGATCATGCTAAGTACTATGGAACCCTACTGCTATCCGAGTGATAAGTTGCGGACGAAAGCCATGGCGGAAAGATCTGTAGAATGAGTAATGACAAATGACACTATTGTTGATTCCACAACCACTAAAAAAATCACAAAAAGTAGCTTAAAGTTTGTCTAAATATGTGTAAACTGAGCGTGGTTCTAATAGCGCTTCTTACTAAAGCATTTGATGCTCGGTCTTAAAATCAGTCGAAATTATAGAGAGGAGAATAGTGTTATTTACCAATATATTCTATATCATTGGCCGACCATCCCATAAAAATTTTAAAAATTATTATTAAAAAAAAAAATTGCTTAACTATAAATATACACTAACTGATGAATAAAGATCCACACTGCAACAAGAAACGTTTCGTCGGTGATGCGGTTCTTCGTTTTGAGACACGTACCAGCGAAAGGTAAAAAAGGTGTTTTTTTAATCCCTAACTGTCCTTTTCCTAAATAGTCTTAGGGGGTAAAAGTAGAGGGGGCTTGTATAGAATGCCAATTTTTTAAAACCTTCTGTCCTAACTCATACCACAAAAGATTGTGTACGGTAAGGTCAATTACGTAACCTCCAAAGATTGAAAAGATAACCACGTCGATGAGAATCGAAGCGATAACTCTTAATACCGATGCGACGCCTTTACGTATAAAACCTGTCTAATTTCTTATATAGATAACCCACCGCCTTCTAGTACACGAGAAATAAAACTATGCTCCACGTAATGATCACCTCCTAAACTAACAAAAAAACGTGTCTTCGCAGCTGAACGGTTAAAAGCATAGACGCGTACTCTGGTTGGGGTGTTCAAACTCCGACTATGTGGCTCTTCTTTTGAGATTTGCTTATTGCTATTTGGCTCACATCAAAGTTGTAACAGTGCTCTGCATTCATCAGCGAAGTGGCCGAGCTGGATGCTCTTAAACAAACTATTTACTTAGATTTTATCCAAGGTTAGCCACTATCTTTCTTAAAAAAGCTTTAAAATTTCTTGGGTTCCCTTTTATAGATCCTGAAGTTTGCAAAAAGAAAGCTATATTAGAAGACGACTTCCTTTGTGTAAGACCGTGTTATACATGTCACTTTTCTCACAATATACACTACCTATACCAAAAACATAAACAACTCCTGAATGTTTTCTTTTTAACCAGGAAGTATGGTTGACGGAATCCATTTAAGCACTGGTTACATCCTTCTGGTAGTGTCATGAAGGTCGTTTCGTATATGCAAGCGGGAATGTTAATTCCAGGTGGGTTTTTATATTTGGCGAATATTCTCTGAGGCGATTTTCAGATACATAATATTTACCTCTTCTATACACGCTTTGTCTAAAAAAATACTGTCTAATAGGCATTTAAAAGCATAGATAAGAAATTGATACACAGTGGTGCCACAAAACCTTAGTGCACACTTTTTATTGATACATTTACCACTGTAAAAGAAAGAAATTACTTCTATTTAAGTATATGTTTAAAGTATATTGCACTCTTACATGTTTATAAATTCAGTTGCTTAATTTGTTGTTGGTGCTTAAAGCGTTAAATTTTTAGTCTGGTGATTTCTGAACCTTTAAGATTTTATATATAACAGTCAAAGTAACATAATAAATTTACAAAAATGTTATAAAACTCTGCTAACTTAATGGAGCATCTTAGAAAGCGTTACTTTCTCCGTCTTGGAATTAATTAAAAAATTCAATCATTTCTTCTTAACAATCAGTTAAGTTGTGATATGCCTAAAAATAGATACAGCAAAAATATAAAAACATTTTTTTTCTTAGTTTATTTTTTGAATTAGTGCTTTATTTTTAAGGTTAACGGGGTGTTTTTGCGTTGAATGAGCTTACATCTTTATCTTTAATTTAAATTATTTGTTTTAAGTTATAATATATATTTATATGTCTGCTATCTATTTTTTAAAAATTAGTCAAGGTTATTAACGTCAGTACATAGTTTACTTTTTTTAATTTTATCTCTTGTGTTTCGTTGTATTCTCTCCTGTTGCTATTTACTGGATTAAAAGGTTAACATCATTTATGTTGCGGATGCACTAAAAATTGTCTCTAAAACACACTACTATGACCTGTGAAATATTAGTTAAAAGACTCTTTAAGGTCAAATTATGGAAATGCGTACTGCTGTGAACTCTAAGGAGGACGAACTACTAACATCTTTAAAGTTAAAGCAACAAAAAAGTAAAATTAGGGATACTTAAGAGACTTGTAAACTTATTTTGTTAGCTCGAGGATCGTCTTAACTATAAACCTGAATGGTGAAAAATTAAAATCCTAACTGCTTAATTATAGACCCTGTTTGAGGGTTGAAATTTTCCATGAAGGCTAATAACCAAATCCGTAACTTTGCTTACAAGCCTGTCTCTTTACATTCGTAAATACCATGGAGAATCCGCATGAGCAGCAGCAAGCGGTGATTTCCTATTCATTTCAATAGTGTCGCTGCGATTGCAATTCTTATTTAATTTTGTTAGTTTTTTAGTTTAATTTTAAAAAACCAAAAAGAAAAGTACTTTGTTATATACAAAATCTGATTTGAAACTAAGGGCAGGTGTTGATTGAAAGAATAACTGCCAACGTTGAAAAACTTTGTGAAACTATTGCACAAATTAATGAAACCCTTGAGGTTCATCATTTTATCGACACTATATTTAATTTTTTTTAACTATTATCATATTTTATAACAAGGAAGCTGAATTTTACAAAGCTGAAATTAGTTATGTTAGTCAGGTTTGGGCGGGTTATGCACGAAACTTAAGAATTAATATAGATAATAATAAACTTTGATAGCTTTAATAAAAATATATCCCTGAATGATAGGTTAACAAATACCACAATTTCACCGGTTATCTTGACATAATTATATTTAGGACTAATTTACGCTAACACTCTTTTTTTTATTATAAGTTAAACCATGGGTTTCGGTGGTTGCTACTTAAAAATAAACAGTTTTAAATAAACTATGACGTTAAACAGACTATATTTCTAGGCTATAAAGATACTTTTTTCTAAGTAAATGGTTTTCCACCTTCTTGTTCTTAATTAATGTTATGTTACCTACTATATATTTATGAACGATCATATCCTTAAAATATCTAATAAAGAATGTACCGTTTTTGTGAGGCTTTTGATTATATAAAATTATTCAAATATTTGAGCGTTAGTTGTGTATATGATATGCAGACGAATAATGAAAAAAAAATATATATCCGAATTAAAAACCAGAAACTTTTGGTTTCACTTTTTATTACTCGTATGATAATTATATTTTTGTATAAAAAAAAAAGTTTAAGAAATTATAAGTTTGTAAATATACTGGATTAAGTTACGGTATATTACTTACGTAAGTAGGGACAGTGTCCTCTTGACTAACCTGACTTCTGTTTGTTATAATATACGAGCCAAACTACTAGTCATAATTATTAATTTAACTTTAATAAAGCGGTGTATAATGGTGCTTCTTCTTCTCAATTTTATTTATACTACCTATATTTTGATTTATTACAGTTTTACTTTATGCTACTAGTAGTCCCACTTCTCAAATAAAACCCTGATTAGTAAATAAAATAAATTGAAACAAAGTCGATCATGGTTTATTATTGTCATCAATATGATTTGTTACCCTTTGTAACCTAACGTAGTTAACGTTAAAGTGCTCCCGGTGTATTATTTCGGACTGACTTTGGGCTTTATATTAGAACTCTCAGCTCTCTGTGCGGTTGAATATTGCTAAATTACAAAACGTAAGTAAACGTAATAGCTTATCCTGCTACACTGAAGTTTCCTAGCTATTTGAAAAGGGCGTACTGCTAGGCGGAAAAAACCCACGTTAGAATTGGGCGGTACTCGTCTTGTACTTTAAAAACTTGTCCTTTAGTAAAAAATTACTTATTCGGTTAAAACATGTGTACAGTTACAAAACGCGCAGGCGCGTCTTGAGGACTTTATGCGTATCTCATATAATAGCTAATAAAGGCTTTTATAAAAACCAGATAATGGATTTTAATACCTTTTAAGATTAGTGTATAAATACTTGAATAATCGCCCCTTCTGTTATAATATATCCTTGTGTAGTAAAAAGTATTTATTTTATCAATGATTATTTTCTGGGTGAGGAGCACATTATCATGGAGGCCTGGCTGTGTCTCCAGGTGGCATCGGGTCTTGTGCCTAAAGCTCTCTCTTCCGTAGGTGGTTTTTGTTGAGGAAAAGATCCCGGTCCATAGGTTTTAAGGCAAATTACCATTTCAGGCAATTTTATTACTATTATTGATTATTCCATTGCTTGGTTAGTATATAATGCAGGTTCACTAAAAATAAACAGGCAGTCGTGTTAATTTTTTTTAGTGCTTTTTTTGTTTCAGTCACACCTCTACATCTGTATATATATACATTTGTTTACAATTAATTTTAAAAGGTTTATAGGTTTAAATACCAGTCAGTAAAGGTTTAAATACCCCAACAGTTTTTAGCGCCTTCCTACCACTAGGCTGAATAGAGGAGGTCCGGGCCTGTATTTTTCACTTTTTCGGTCCTTCGGGATGGTCTTTATATAGCTCTATAAAGCACGTACACTGGTGAACAGCCGTGCTCTAACTACTTCAGAAGAGGGGGATTCAAATTAAGCGGTTTAAGGCCTTAAAAAGACTGGCCATGGACGCCAGTACTAAAAAATTAAGGAAAAAAAAAGTTGTATGCACAAAGATCAAAATAGAAAGTAGTTTACTTAACCAATCGACCAGCGATAGGTGCAGACCACTAAGGGAGCCCTGAATACCAGAACTTATGGTTCCAGATTGTAAATTGGGTTTTATGCTCACTTATGATTAGCTATTTCCAGGTAATTCTATTTCGGAGAAATACTCCCAATCTTTAATTTGCATCAGATCTATGTGCCAGTATTATGTTCCAGTTTCATATATGGTAACCGTTTTGCTGTGTCATGTAAACTAGTAAATGGGTTGTTACTTTCACACCTTACCTCACTCTTCTCATGCGAGTGTGGACGCTGAGCAATTCAGTAAACCTGTGTTTGCTTCAATCCTACTTCTAAATCATTGGCGTAGGCGCTATAGTTAATATATATTACACTACGCTTGATAGAGGCAATAGTTAACAAGAGTGTAAAGAGAAGCCGCGACATCGTTAGCTTTGTTAATAGCATGTGTGTGTTCAATTTAATATTTTTTTTGTCAAATATGCTCCTAAAAATATTCAAGATTCATGAGATTTATAGATGTCTTCCTCATTAAGATATACTACTAAAGCTTCTTTTTTATCTAATTAATTTTTAACTTTCATTTTTCCCATCTTGCTTCTTCCTTGAAAGAGAAACAAAAATGTGCATGTACTAAAGCAGTATCTTTAGAAGAGGAGGAAATTAGTGCAAAATAATTTTCAAAGTGTCGCTATTTATTAATAAGTTTGCTATATAGATTAGTAATTTAATTATATTTATATTGTATACACAACACATTAATTAACTAAGTTCGGTAATTGTAGTAAAAAGCTTGATGTTAATTGGTTCACACTTTTAAAATTTTCCTGCATAGAAACACCGTTGGAATGATTACTCTCTGCCGTTTTAAATGCAAAGTTTTATAAAAACCCTCTTATAAAATCTGTTAGACTTGGGCGCCTACAGGAGAGTCAGACCTATTCACCGTTTTTGTCATCAACTTATTAGGCAATTTACTTTTAATATAGTCGTGAGAAAACTAACTTAAAATAGTTTGTTATCTGAGTAAAGTAAATTTAAACCTCCAGTACGCATACTTTTTCGTTTTCGACAATGCTAGGAAACTCTAAAGTATCAACAAATGGAAATACTAGCGAAGGAGAGACAGAAAAACAGCTACTTCGTTTAAAGCATTTAGTTGAAAAGACTTCCATCTATTCTAAATTTTTGTATGAAAGGATGAAGGAACAGCAAGAGATAAAGGTCAAGGAAAAACTGAGAACTCAAAATAGGTTAACTAAGAAACTCAAGTTAGAATCTTCTAAAATAAAACTTACACCAGAAAAATGTCAAAGCCTTGCTTCTTCGGCTAAAGTATCAATGGTAACAAAGTTATTACAATAGTGCGTGAAACTTTATATAGTTAATTACGCCTATCTCCACAATAATATTTTAGTTTTACTTCTTTTATAGAATAATACAAGTATGTTCCTTTTTTATACCAAGTTTTGTTTTCCAGTTTAGAACCAAGGAAAAAGGTGGTGACTCTGTTGTTTTAAAAAAGGCTTCCCAGTCTATAAAAAAACCGAGTATTAATTTTATTAAACCACAAACTATTTTGCTTTTTACTTTAAACATCCATAGGCAATAAGTACACTATTGCGGACTACTTAACCGAAGCTGTAACTTTACTTATACTATTACAGTTATGACTCTTATAGTTTATTATTGTTATTAGGATTTTGATTTAACTTTGAAGGATTCTTCAGATTTTGCTAGTGAGGCAGAATCAGTGGACAGTTATTCCCGCATCATCAATGGCCAACGCGTATCTTCTTTATTATATTTAAAAGCTCGTTTTTCTTTTTTAAGTTCAATGCATTTTTTTTCTTCGTTGAAGTTTTTAAGCACGTCTCTTAGTATAAGTCCTTTAAATAATAAATGTTTAAAAATCTTTTGTGTACTAAACTTTACTTATTATCACAGTAACTAATTTTGTACAAGCTGATAATAAAACTGTAAGCAATTTAAAATATGTATATACACTGGTTATTAAATTATTTAAATTAAATTTTTTACTGTATATTTTTTAAAAAATCCGATGATGTGCGACCTTGCAGGCGTCCGACAGACAGCCGGAACTCGTGACGGGCGGCGTCTTAAGGGACTACCAATTAGGTATTCTGCTACTTTTATAAATTTATAATTAAAAAAATAACCAGTTCATCTTGAAATTCTTTTAAATTTTATTTTAGCGGAATTTAGATCTTTTTGTTTTAGTTTATTGCACTTATTTTATTTCTGCTTTAGTGACAATTCAGTTCCACCGCCTTTACTTTTTTTTAGAAGAGAAATTTTTAATGTGAAAAAAGTTGGCTTTGTTAATTTGTTTGTAAAAAAATTAAAAAATTGAATTTAGCACAGAATAAGGCTTTTGTAAATTTAATTACCGCTTGCTCCCTTGTACTGCTCTGTACAGCGCCATTGCTCTTTGCTCACTTGCTTGTGCCTTTTTTATATAAAAAATCATGTAAAAACGTGTTTTTTTTTATTAATGAGGTTGTGAGTCGTTAAGTTTTTTAATTATATAAAAAAAATAACTGCCTTGTAATCTTTTTTTGTTTTTTGTCACGTGATTGGGCCCGCTGACGCGTTTCTTGTAACAACACGACTCAGTCGGGCTCGAGTGGCTTATTTCCTTATACGAGAACGGCCTTAACGGGGTCCTCGGCGACGAGATGGGCCTTGGAAAAACACTCCAGTGCATAAGTTTTCTTGCTCATCTTATAGAAAAAGGTACTTGTGTCCACGTTAAATATAGATGAAGTGTTTTCTTTGTTTATTATTATGTTGTAGTCATTAAAAAAAAATAATTTCCTCTCGCCTGCTTTCCTCTTAATAAAATTTATTGTTATTTAGCAGAATCCTTTTTTCTATTTTCTATTCCAAGATAAAATTGTTTCAGTACTTGCTGAGTTTAATTCGCTGGAAACAAAGAAATACGTTGGGAACGCATTCCTTACCTTTTAACTTTTTTAGCTTAACTGAATGATCCCAACTTTGGCTGTCGCTAAACTCTTCATCTCGAGCTTCATAATTTGAAATTAGACATTAATTAAAATCATTTCGATTAAAATTTAGATAAAATTTAAACTGACATACGCCGATTAACTTTTTACTTGAAACAGTTTAAAGCAAGAATTTTTTTAATATTTTCGTAATAAAATCTTCATTATAGCTTTGGAGGGAAATTTTCTTGTTATTCTTCCCTTTTTTAGTCGTGTAATTAATAAATTTTCCTTTATTTATACTTTAAACTATTAATAATATGCGCTTCTGCAGCAAAACAAGAAAACTTAACCTAACTTTAGAAGTAGGGGTAGTTGAACGAATGTAATTTTACTCCATTTATAATTTTTTTACATTTATTTTAAATTTTTCAAATTTTTATATCTTTTTCTGAAAGTAACCGTTGTTTTCTCGGAAGGTGTGCATGGCCCATTCCTTATCTGCGCTCCTACCTCGACCGTCGGAAACTGGGCAGCTGAATTCAGTAACTACACACCAGCCGTTCCTGTTGTTATAGGAATTACCGTTTTCCGTTACCGTTTCCCATATAATAATAACAACCAACAAGACTATTATTGTGCTCTCTTTTAATTCTATGAACCAATAGTATCACGGGACTCCCCAGGAACGAAAGGCGATTCGTCGAAATGTGCTGAATATGCGCAACTTTGCGACACTTGCGGGAAAGCGCGGCGTTGTGCGTAACAACGGAAAGCAGGTTATTTATATATTTGCCGATGTCATTATTTTTCTTGAGCTTTTAAAATAGTTGGACATTATGCCCGTCATCATAACAACGTATGAGATGGTGATGCGCGATCACAGGGCATTCCAGGGCATCCAGTGGCATTACATTATAGTTGACGAAGTCGTGATTTATTGTTATTATTATTATTGTGATTACAATCATTGTTATTGCTTCTTTTCAGGGCCACCGTCTAAAAAACCTCCACTGCAAGCTTATCAAGGAGCTCAAGTCCTGTCCCTCCTCGAATCGGCTTCTTCTGACTGGTGACGGCTTTGACTTTCTACTTTCGCCCGTTTCTACTCTTCTCTGTTTCTTTGCAGGCACGCCCCTTCAGAACAGTTTGTCTGAGCTCTGGTCTCTCCTCAACTTTCTCCTTCCCGATATTTTCGACGATCTGGACGCCTTCCAGAGCTGGTTCGACTTTGATCTTCAAGAAGGTTTTTCTCTTTTCTTATATTTTTATATGTACTGAACGATTATTGAACCAGAAGGTCGTCAACTTTTTCTTGAGGAAGACACCGAGAAGTGGCTTCTGAGTCAACTTCACAAGATTCTCGAGCCGTTTCTTCTCAGGCGGTTGAAGCAGGACGTTGAACAGGCGCTGCCCCTCAAGAGGGTTGCGCCTCTCTGCTTCCATTAGTTCGTTTCAGTGGTTTATTATTGGCAGGAACTCATCGTTTACACGCCAATGAGCGATCTGCAGAAGCAGATGTATACCACTTCCCTTTTAGGTTTGGTGTTAGTTTTCTTATTAATACTTAACTTTTTCCTCTTTTTTTTCTTAAAGGAAAGTTTCGGGAATATGTAGAGGAGAGAGACAGAAAGGATTCCTGCACTAATGTTTTATTTATAGAGAATGTTAAGCTTTAACTTTTACAATTCAATTTAGCAACGGTTGTCTCCTTTGGGTGATGCTGCGCTGGAAGACCGCAGAAATCACGTGAAACCAGAGAGCGACGGTTTGCTGATTGGGTCTTTGTGAATATATTTTTTCTTCTCGGCCAATCCCCGCTCGTTAGAAGGTCCAATCAAGAGTTCTTGGAGAAATATAAAGTTGCAAAACTTACTCGTGCATTTGAGGAAGGTCTTATGCGATTGGTCTCTTAATAGAATGTTTTTTTCCCGACCTATCAGATCTGCAATCATCCTTATCTCGTCGAGTATCCGCTCGACCATCACGGCAACTATCTCGTGGACGACGACTTGGTGAAGGCGAGCGGGTTCTTTTTATTGGTTACTGCAAAGCCTTCTTTATTACTGCGAGCATCAAGGAAACTTGTGATGCTGGATCGTCTCCTGCCAGCGCTGCAGCATCGGGGGCACCGTCTTTTGCTCTTCTCGCAGATGACGAGGATGCTCGATATTCTGCAGGACTACTGCTCCTTAAGAAGCTACAAGTACTCGCGGCTAGACGGCTCGCTAGCCCAGAAGGAAAGAGAGCGCGTGGTTCGATAAACATCGACGCCCTTTGTGGGGAGCCGATAATAACAGGATCATTGAAGATCTCCGAATTCAACGAAGACGCGAGCATTTTCATATTCCTGCTAAGCACGCGGGCAGGCGGGATGGGCATCAACCTCACCAGCGCAGACACCGTGCTGATATACGACAGCGACTGGGTGGCTTCGAACTACAATTGTCCAATTACACTCTTATATTCGTCCATTAGAACCCCCAATGTGACCTCCAAGCACAAGACAGGTGTCATCGGATTGGCCAGAAGAAACCAGTCTTGGGTCTATATTTATCACTTTTCTGTATTTCGGTAGTAAATAGTTGTTTTTCTCCGCCCAGTTTACCGCTTTGTGACGGATAAAAGTGTGGAGATCACCTTGCTCAATCGGGCGCAAGCCAAGCGGCGGCTGGAAAAGGCCGTTTTTCACAAAGGTGTGCTGTTCCGCCTCTCTGCTATTGGTGAACTCAACAGCCTATCATTAGCCAAGTTTAAGGGGAAGTGCCTAGATGAAGCGACCGAACCCCTCACTGCGGAAGAACTCAGCACTCTCATAGAAGAAACAGGTCACGTGCGGGTGATTTCCAGTGTAGACGGTGAACGATCTGCATTTTGATTGGATAAGAAGGGTCTATCACCATTTGTTTTTGACAGATGTCATTTCAAATCGAGAGTTGGAACTTTTATTGGACCGCTCCGAAGGGTCCAATTGTAAGTACGCATGAGCCTTATAACTGGCGTGAAACATCGCCTTATTAGGAAGTTGCGGTGCTCTTTTGCGACTGCATTGTACTTCTAAAAAAGTTTAAATACGGTTTATATGAGTGCTGATTGGTTTATATATGGGCTAAAAGCCGGGGGTGGCCAATATGATATAGTTTTCTTATGGCTTACCCATATATAAGCTGTATACTACTATTTTCTTATTATCTACAGAAACCTCCTCTACGGCTCCCGCGTTACAGACGTGTTATCAAAGTTTGCTTTTCTTTATTTTATAACATGAATATGTTGGAATTTATTATAGTGAATCCCAAGTTTTCCAATGTGCTGTCCTCGTGGCTTGACAGTTCTGTAGCGATTTTCTCAGTCTTTTCCTATAATAAATAGAAATTACTGAATAGTCGCCTAAAGAAACTCTACCAAATATAAATTCTTACAGAGTTAACAATTTGATTCCTACCCCTAAACCGAAAAGCAAGAACCCGGGGAAATGTTGCCGCTATTCCTTGAACCACCGAGGCAGTCACGCTATGCCTTTGAGGGGGGGAACACTGGTAGGTTCTGTACCTTAACCCCGTAAATGAAGTAACCAAAAAAAAAAGGTTGTCGGCTTCTCTGTTGCAGCCACGGTCAGTTGGTTACATAACCGGTTATTCGCTTTTATATAAACGGCAGTGCGTTGAACATCACAGAAGTAATAGCTGGATAATTTAGACTATTTACAACACTTCGCGACACCTCTACACTAGACAAAAACAAATATTCACACTTTAAAAACAATTATGCAAAATAATTATACTTCATTTTCACATTTGGAAAATAAAGAGAAATATCTTTTGAAGAAAACTTAACTAATTACATGGGCTAGAAAACACACAAAGTTATTAAACAATATCTGATTAAATCAATAAAAAAAAATTGTATAAAAACAAATTTAAAATTGGTTAATTAACCACAAAACGAATTTTCATTTGTTTTCCTACAAAAGTACAATATATATAAAATACTATTATCTTCCCGTTCAAAAAAAATTAAAAATTACAAACAATAACATTGTGACAAATAATAAAAAATTATAGAAAAATGTAGATAATTTTTAGTTTTTTGTAAAAACATTATACGCCACCCCGTGACTAGTAAAGCTAACCCGTAAAAATTAGTTGCTTCTTTAATTCTTTAAAATGTATGCTTACATATTAAATAAAACCTTTAACTAGTTATACTTTGCTCTTCACACGTATATTACGAAGTACATAATATCTCTTTGACAATTTTATTAGTTATAAATATGCTCTGTTCTCCTCCTTCCAAACTATTCTCTTTAAAATTAGTAACTACTTTACCTCTCCAACTTAGTGTAACTTATATATATTGTTTTAATACTCAAAATTTGTTTCAAAAAAGAGAGTTGAATTAATACGTCGCCTATAAAGCTCCAGGACTCGCCCACGAATGCCTTCATGGTACGTATCAAATTTGATGGCATTCCGTTCGTTAGTTATCGAGATCTCAAAATTTTAGTGACGTTGCCTTTGTCATTTTCAAAACAATTGATAAAAACGGATTTTGTGTTGGTTAAGCACTATATAATGTATAGAAAAAAATACCGTTAAAGGTCAGCAATGATCTAACGATTACTAGAAATTTGCTGAGTTTAAAATGGGGCCGTACGGACACATAAAGCTGAACGATCTTGACGCCTAAATTAGGCGGTCACTCCAGAAAACAGAAATTCCACCAATTCTCGTTGATGACCGTAAAGTGAAGTTGCGTGAGTTAGCTGACCTCGCAAAGATATCAAATGAAAGTGTAAGCTACATTGTGTACGAGAAAACTCTGTGCAAATCGGTGTGTTGCGATTGCTCACATTGGATAAAAAACAATGCTGGAACTGTTTAAGCGAAATAAAAAGAATTTTTAGTGCGATATGTAACAATATATGGATCATGTATCCATCACTCTACTTTAGAGGCAGCTAAATGGAAAGCTAATGATGAAAGTCGCTTCGAAGCGATGGGACTTTTATTTTGCATAACATTTTTTTCTTTCCCCATTCTTGTTCTAAAGTCAGCAAAAAAAATCGAAGATATCTACTTATTAGAAAAGGAACCAATATCTCTGAAGCTCCTGAATAAATTCATGATACTGAGGAGGTTTTAAAAAAAACACTAAGGATGGAATTATACTTTTTTACTACGACGGAATTAATATTATATATATTTAAACCAATTAAAAAATTAAGCTAAACCAATAATTATATGATACAGGCTATAAGACTTCCTGTAAAGCGTTTTGATAATATTAATACATTCAGTGCTATATTCGCCGCCTTGACTTAAGGCACATACTTCAAACAAAGCGTTCAAGATTGCATTATGTCACGAAAAGGAGAAGGTAGCAATTGCCATTATCAAATTATTTTGCACCGCTCCCAAGTCCAGGCCTGTTCATATAAATTTTTATATTGTGCACTAATAGTAACGGCCATTTTACAATGCTTTGCCATACATTAATATTCGTCCCCTAATGATAAAAATAACTGAACCAATGTTCTACGGAGCCTTCTTCACTTTAAAGTAGGTTACGTAATCCTAAAACTCGATTTCGAGTTTTACTAAATTGATCAAGCATCGAGATAACGGCTATTAGTAAAAACCTGTTTGAACTTTTTTTTCCAAATATAGACATCTAGATGAGATTTTCGGCAATGAGACAAGGCTCACGAGTAAGCAATTTTACTATCTAATGTTACTGCATTGGGTTATGACGAAGTTTCCCAATTAAAAAATTCGAGCGTACTTTGAAATTCAGTAGCTTTTTATATTTTTTCCTCGCAAGTTTTAGCTATAAAAAATATCATGCATTCTGTCATTAGAAAGCTATCCAGTTTTTTTAGTTTAAAATTATCCAATGCTTTCTTTTTTACAACGGTCCTATCCTTAATTACAAGATTGTACCACCTTCGCATTCCCCCTCAGGTTTGGTAAGAAGTATAATTGCGTATATTAGTTTATTACTTAAGTAAATAAAACCAGCTGGGATGAAACCCACTTTGGAAAACATATTAACGGCTATATCCAAAGAAGATATTTTTTTGACGTTCATCCTCCTTTGGGTAAATTGTTACTTGCCTTTGCTGGTGTACTATCAGGTCTCTTAATTTTATTTTTTTACTTATAGAAGTATATTTTTTTATTTTTTGAACCTTAATATTATATTTTATAAATCAAGGGTATGACGGAACCTTCCCCTTTAAGGAGCCCGGCCAGCCGTTTCCTGAAAACATGAACTTCGTATACATGAGACTGGTTGGAGCCCAAAGTTTTATAATAGTTTATAAGTTTCTCTGATTGTTAAATAGCTTCCTGCGGTATTGGGAGCGCTTTCACCTTCCTTACTTTTTGGTGCGTTGTATTCCTTGAAGTTTTCTTTGGAAACTTGCTTTTTCGCTGCCCTATTAATGATTTGCGGTGGGTCTTCCCTTTTATAAGAAATCTATTTAGTTTTTAACCCCTTTATAATAACAGACACTTATTGTTTAATACTGTCGAGATATATTCTTCTTGAAGGATTCACGGCTTTTTTCCAAAATCTTGCGGTTTTTGCGTACTGCCGCTTTCGTACTTATACTAGCAGGTGCTCTTCAGGACGTACAATACTTTATTTTCATTTTGCATTAAGTTTACTTACTATCTTTATTATATTTAGCGTTAACTTAATAAGCTTTTAAACTAACTTTGGATACTTGTTATTGTAATAAATTATACCTAACATGTATGTTGCAACTAATTTCTTATATATAAAGTTTTTATTTTTATATTATAATTGGTTATAATTTTATTTCATTAGGCCTTTTACCAAGTTGTGGTGGATATGTCTATTTTTAACAGGTTTATACCAAGATGCTTTATTAATTAATTTTCTAAAATTTGAAAAAGAAAGTATTTAAGTACCTTATTAAAAAAAACTTTGAGAGAGTTATTAATTTATATGCAAGAAAAGGTAAGAGTTATGAAAAATCCCATGAAATTTTATATTACTTAAACTTTTTAATTATAGAAAAAATAAATATTTACTTTAAGTCGGTTTTATTACTCATTAATCAATCTTTGATAGAATATTAATCCCTTAAAGAATCTTTTTATATTCTTTAATATTTATTTTTTTTACATAAGAAAATTCTAGTCCGTGTAAATACGTTCCTATTGTTAGCTAAATAATTTTATGCAAAACTATAACTTTTGTTGGTTTTATGGAAATTTTTATTTGATTTTATAAAAATTAGTTAATAGTTATTTTTAACATGATTGATTTTTAATTTTGCACACTTAAATTATTTGATTGTAAATTTTATTTAATACTTATTTCAATTTTCATTACTATTTTCCTGTTTCAAGTTGTAAACTGTAGATTTAATATGAAACTTCTTATAAAGAGTATTCTGTTTATTCTTTACTAGAAGACCATTTACTAATTTTACTAGTAATAATTTATTATTCCTGCGGGATATTTATAAAGTTTCATACGATTTAATGCTCTTCTACGGTATTTTGTAAAAACTGCTTATATTTTTCTTAACAATTTCTTGGTTAATTAATTTCTGCAGACTTCCCTTTTTACTTTTATACTTTTTCTACTTCTCTCGTAATATTGTACTTGATAATAATTAATTATTATATACATAATACTTTAGATATTTAAATATGGTAACAACTGCTTACGAACGTATTGAGTATTACGTAAACCTTTTTGTAGTATATTGCTAACAGAAATTAATAGTACCATTTACAAAGTACAGGATTTTCATTGGGCTGCTGCTTAGGCGTCAAGTGGACGGGCGCCTTTGTTGTGTTTCTGATTGGTCTGTCCACTGCCTACGAGCTTTGGAATATTTGGGGCGACCTGCGTAATTCTCCAGTAAAGCTTTTAGTTTGTGCTTTCGCACTATTTCCGATATTTTTCGCCTAAATATGACACAGAAAACAGTTTTGCACCACTTTCTTGCCCGCGTGGTTTGCTTGATTGTCGTTCCTCTTGCACTGTACGTGTCTTTTTTCTGGGTCCACTTCAGTTGGGCGTTCTATTCCGGCCAGGGAGACGGCTTCATGAGCTCAAAGTTTCAAGTAGGGTCTGCCCGTATGCTTTGTGGCAATATAGTCCGGCTAACCCACCTTCCAGCTCTCGATCGTTGGAAATCCTCTGGCTCACCAGTTGAGCGCAAAGCGCTTGGTTTATGGTAAGCCTTGCGGTTGCACTCTTTTTACGTCGCCAAACAGTTTTAACAAGGGGCCAAATTTACACTACGGAACGCATATACTGGCGGGGGGCTCCTGCACTCCCACGCAGACCTCTACCCCAAGGAGTTTTCGCAGGCTCTCCACCAGCAGGTGCGTCTCGGTGGTTGCTATCGTGCATTACTGTGAATTATTCTCAACAGGTCACAACTTATACTTTTAAGGACGGTAATAACGATTGGTACATCAAAAAGGTATCGCATAGTGACCTCTAGCATGCCTAATTCGATCCAGTATATTTTACTTGGGGTGTCAGCTAAATCAATCGGTGGCCGAACTCCAAGTCGGAGCGCCGGTTCCTGTTCTTCATGGAGACCTCGTGCGTCTGAAGCACGTGAGAACTTCCAAGCACCTGCACAGCCATAATGTACCGGCGCCCATGACACCGTCGCAGAAGCAGGCACTTCCATTATTGTTGATCTATAGAACCACGCCTGCTCAAATTTTTTTATTTTGTTACTATCGTTAATAATTACTTTTTCTATACCGCTTTAGTTGCTCTTTGATGTATTATTTATTATTCAGGTTTTCGGCTGCAACCACAATGATTCCAACGACTACTGGCAAATACTGGTAGACGGCTACGCTGGTTTTGCTATAATAATTATAGTACAAAATGGAGTTCTATAATTATTATGGACCAAAAGAGCCTGTACGTCCGGATAAGAGCAGCGCAACGCCTGTGATCGAGGTAGTAAACTCGTTGGTTCGATTCAGACATGTGAATGAGGTCTCTGTTTCCCACCAATCTTGCTCACTTATCTCTGATAACAGTCTATCACAGCATTGCTATCTGCACTACAGCGGCATGAACCTTCCGAATTGGGGCTTTGAGCAGGGCGAAGTCACGTGCAATCCTTTCTATTCCAAATCCGGCAATTTGTGGAACTTTGAGACCATTGCCGATCCCCGCGGTTTTTTACTTTCGTGCATCGCTCCAACTTTTCCTTATTGTGCACTGCACAGTCGAGGCGTTTACTCTGAAGCATTCGAAACCTCTTTCTTTTCTCGAGAGAGTCGTTGAGTTGAACGCCTTGATGATGGAAGTCAGCAATAAATTCAAACCCAAGCCGGGAGAAAACCCTTCCCGACCCTGGGATTGGCCCTTACTGAAGCAAGGTTTCTGCTCCATTAAGCTTTCTGGGGCAGTTCTGCTTATTCTTTCTTGGTAGGTTACCATTTCAATCCTTATTATGAGCACAATCATCGTATCTTCTTGATGGGCAATCCGCTGGTGTTTGGCGTGTGCGGACTCTCGCTCATCGCTTATTGTTTTCTCCTACTCTTTTACGCGATTATTAGGGGAAAAGGTGTAGCAACAATCTTATATGGGCTACTAGAACTCACTCTAATGCAGGAGTAGAACATCCCTATCTGAAGCACCGGAGCGCTGTGGTGCACACGTCAGGGGCATGGCTATTTCTAGGCTATCTTCTGCACTACCTTCCCTTTTACTTCATCACAAGAGTTCTATACTTCCATCACTACCTCCCCGCACTGCTCTTCAATTTTATGGTCAGCGGAGTTGTATTCGAAGAGCTGTTATTCTGGCTGCGAGCCTGGAAACCGTCGCTCTTCCCCTCTCGCCTGTTGCTTCTATTCTCTACAGGCGCTCTCATATACTCTTTTGTGTACTTTTCGCCTTTTGCATATGGAATGACGGGCGACAAAAAATTATATAACCATCTTAAATGGGGCGCCCATTGGCTTATCTAACTTTACAATAAAAAAATTAGAATAGACACCTAGGAGTAGTACTCGTTTATACTAATAATACGATCGTTGGCAGATTCCGCGTATGACCTTGTGCAGTAAGAATATATATTGTTTTCGTATTGCCATTTAGGTGGTCATAAAAAGTAGCGTAGCATAATGTAACGTCCTTACTTAAATTCGTTATCTTTACGATGTCGTGCTAATAATATGAATATTAACTTTTCATGGTCTGAATATATAAAGTTTGCCTTTTATATAATATTTCGCCAGTAAGTTGGCATCTTAGACGAGTTTAAATTTATTCAGAACATTATATGATATACTTAGATATGCTGGCAATAAGTAATAGAAAAATTAATCAATCATGTCGTATCACCCTTTATTTCTTTTTTTAAGTTAAAACACCATCTTTGATAAGTTGCTAATCCAAAGATCTTACGGGAACCTTTAAAACTTTTCGAGGTGTCGCGTTAATTTGTGTTCTATTAATAGTTTTATCCCCCTCGGTGTTATTGCACGCGGGTTACGTATTAACAAAAAACCTCCTTTCAGGAATTACCCAAAATCTATAATTCAATTTATTCTTTTACTATGTTACATATATATATATTGGTATATAACAGTGATTGTAATAAGCTTAAATATATATTACCTAAGATATGGTTAAGTTCATATATACTTATAAGTCAACATACATGCTACCCACAATAAGTAGGCTGTTCTATTTCCCACACCACGTTCCGCCTAGTTAGTTAAGCTTCTTAATAAGCACACTATTTAATATTACTAATCTACTAATCTCTTGTACCTTCGAATGACTTATATCATACCAAAGATATTAAACAAAGCAGAAGCAAGACCGGTAATAAGAAAATAACCACAATATTATTTTAAAAAATTAAGTTAACGCAAAAAAAGGATTTTGATTTAGTTGCCGATAACGAGTTTGATTTCTTCAATATAAAAGGTAATCTTTTAAAGCTAATTTTTTTTAAAGAAAAATGATACCATATTTCATAATCAACTGAGCGACATTTAGCTGATATCGTGTCAAATAAATCTGCTTGATTATTTATAGAGCCACTAGACTAGTAACTTCTCAGGCATTTAAAATTGTGAATACGCTTTGTAAAATTTTCTGGTATATATGTTTCTAAGTAAATGTCGCTGAATCTGAAAAGGAATTAGTTTTATATAAATAGCAAAAATGCCCGAAAGAATCATAGTGTTGATCTGACCTATATAAAGTTTGCTTTTTTGAAAAATAATGACTTCTTTTTGTAAAAGCTATGTATTAAGCTTGATCAATTTAATAAATTTTACTTATAAGTAGTTATTATTCTTATTTATACAATTAAAATAATTATATTCGATCCTGGTCTGGGTAAAGGGATTCAAGTAGACAAACTTATTTCAAATTCTAAATACAAGAAGAAAAGATTCACAGAATATCTTATATACGTAAGTTAAAAGGAATGGTTAAACCATTCATCCCTAATTTATCAGTAAAGTAACTCCAAATTGTGTCTCAGGTCATTCAAAATCTATTATTTTTCCTTAAAAAATTGTTTTTACACCATCCTATTAAGGTAGTTTTAAACTTTACGGAACATTATTTTTTTAGTAAACTTACATATTATTTTAATAAGACTATTAACAGCAATCTCTGAAAACCATATTGTAACGTTATGTAAGATTAGTAATTAAATGCGACTGTTAAAAAATTTATTTTAACTTTTAAATGTCTTAAGAGATTATTATTAATTCAAAGTTCTAAATTTTTGAATTATTGGTTGCTTAGCTGATAGACCCGTCCAGAAAGTCTTAGTTCTTTAGACTTAAGTAATTATCTTACCTGATCGTTTTATAGTCTCTGTCAGCTTACTTCTATTTAAGCCCTCTTAACTCAAGTCACTAAGTTGTAAGGTTTTGAATTACGGCCTACTTCCAGGAAAGCTCCGCTGTATTATATTTTTAAAAAAACCTCAAATGTGAGAGGTACTTATGAGACATGACCGTACTTGTACCACATCTTACCATAAACAGTCAATTAAACGAGTTAAAAAATTAAAATTATTGCACCCCCCCTCCCCTTTATGAACTCAGTTCAAGGTTCCTTCCAGATCCACCCTCTCTGTCTTTTTTTCTAATTTGAAGTTATAATATTTTTAAGCCCAAGGTATATAGGTAATGCTCTGTCCTAAAGTTTTTATTATTTTTCTGGTAAATAGTTCTACCTACGAAAGAGATGTCGGCAAATATTTATATAATAGAACTTTTATCACAAAGCTCTCTCATTTTTAGATTTGAAGATTGTGACAAATAGGAGAGAGGTGAACGTATCATTGATACACAGTTAATATAAGCTAAAAATGGTTTTAAAGTTAACAATTCTACTTCTCCGCTTAAAGAAGAAATATTTTGTATTAAATCTTTTTTAACATAAAAGAAACAAGAAATTTTAATTTAAAAGTTGAACTATATTAAAGACATACACCAGATATTTAATAAAAAGATTTAAAGTTCGTTAAAAAAGGTATAGATGAAATTAACAAAAAGAAAGTTCTCGGCGGAGCAAGTAAAAGATTTGGCTGGCTAATTTTTCAAAATCAAATGAACTTTCCTCTTTTATATAAAAATATTTCATCAGGTACTTGATTTCATCAGTGCAATTAAAATATGTTCCTTTACAAAATACTAATTCGAGTCGACTTTTGAATTCTTTATATTCGTCTTCCTTTTCTTTGTGTAAATCAAAGCTATTAGAAAGTTGATTTATGTTTTCTAACATTTTATATGCAATGTTCTCAGTAAATTTTTTTTCCATTATAATAGTCTCGTTCATAATAGTATTTATTTGAAGTGATATATTATTAGTAAATTCCCTAAAGTTTTTTTTCAAAGTTCTTTCTAAATCTTTTATTACAAGAAGTTTATCAAATACTTGCTCATATAATTTATCCATTTCTATTTTGATATGACCCTTTCCAGTAACGAACTTGCGTCGCAAAAAAATTAACTTATCATGAAGGTCAGAGAATGTGTAATTTATCATTGTAAGTTCCGAACTCACGTTATACAAGTCGTTTTTAGAATCATTAAAATTCTTCTTTATAGTCGTAAGTTTAACTAAATTACTTTGTTGTAAAATCCCATTTTTTTCAGCACTATACTTAGCTGTCTTTAAATTTCTAACAACCTTTTCAAAGTTTTCCAAAACTATGTTATCCCGTATAATATATATTATAATTCCTGCTAGCACGAACGAATGGGTTACGCCTAACTTGACAATGAAATAATTCATTCTTAAAATTCGCTGGGAAGGAAAGTTACCTACTTTGCAAGGATTTCAATACCTTTTCAAAAAAATGCATTACTAGCTGGAATATCATTCATCGGACTGTTAACATAATAAAGTTATTATACTTTTAGATTGCCAGAACCAATAGAAATGATGTAGGCTATCGAAGAGTAAGGTATTATAATATCCATTACGAATTATTAAAATTTTCGGCATTAATAAGTTTAAATTTTAACTTATTTTGCGGTAACGTTAAATGATTATACCCTAAAAAAGTAAAAAAATTATTTTCTAATTTATTGGCTATCATAAACTTATTTAAAATTGACGCAAAACAAAACAAAGTCCTTAAACTCAGGATTCGCACGATATTTCTTTGTTTAAGACCAAGTTTTTATAAGTTATTTATTGTTATAAACACATACTTAACTAAAGTAGGCTATATAAGTAGTATTTTAAAAAGGTGTTAAATTCTATTTCTTATATGTATATGGATTATGGATGGATGCCATTTACTTAAGCAATATTGCTATAGTCCTTTAAATATGACGTAATACTTCAAATCCTCAAATATTCCAATGTTAAAAGAACACCAATTGCTTTATATATTTAGTTCGCATGCGCCTAAATTTACCAATAGGCTTGTTTTTAGTTTATTTCGAAAAATATCCATAAAACAAAGTTTTCTGTCCCTACATTCTTAAAGTATACTATTTATTACACAATAAATTTATAAGAAAGTAAGCAAATACCAAAATTTTCTTGTAAAATTGAAAGTAAATTCGATATTTTATTGTATTTAAAGGAGTTGCTGTATCAGTTGAAGTTTATTAGCTGCGTCTTTTAAATTAAAAAAACATTTTTAATAATAGTAAAGTCAGTTTTTTTTAACCAATATAATTATATGTGACGTACTTCGGTATGACAATTTAATTTTTCAGTGGTTATATTAACTACAACTCTAGCGTTATTAAACCATTGTATCAAAGAATAAATAAATTTTTATAGTATAAGAAATTCATATTTTTTGGTAGCTTTAGATAGTTTACATTTAGTTTTTATACTTAAAAATATATCTTTATTATTTTCAAGTTGTTAAAATTAAAATTTACGTACAGGTATATAAGTCTAATAACTATAGCTAAGGGCCTTAAATAACATTGTAGTGTTCTAATGTTTTTAAAAACCTAATCTACCTAGACTCGTTGAAAACTTATGTAGGTATCTTGATCCTTTAAGAAAAGACGGAGAAGTGATATTTTATTATATTACGTGTTTTTAAGCTCTAAGGATTATTTTAAATTGTATTGATAACTATATAAATAAGGACCTTGTACTTATAACCTTACACAGCATGCCGAATATAAAACTCAGTACTACCATTGTAATTTTTCTGTTAATTGAATTAACGGAGAAAACTTATGCACGCGTGAAACAAAAAGTTGCTAACAATTTATATTTCCTATCACTGCGAGTTGAGATATATCAACCGATAAATTAATAACCAAAAATCTTTCGTACGTCAACCACACTAACGTATATAACGTTAGCGGTAAATATGATTTTCTCGATAATTAAAGTTAACCTTTTAACCAGAACCTAAGAGAAAAATTTTTAATAAAAATATCATAAACACAAATAAAATCTCTTTAATTATTTATCCGATAAAGTTGGAATATTAGCTCTCACAAATGTTCGA